TTTCCTTTTATTGGCACCCCCCCCCCCCCGGACCTTTCGTTTCCCGGGAGAGAATTACCAGTGCAGTCGATAGCCTGGTCAAGGTGCATCGATTGATGTGAAATTCAGCTGCCGGAAAACGACGGGTGAGGGTCAGGAGGGCATTATACCACTGGCCATAGCAAGATTTTGCAGTTTAAGGCATTTTCCTGCGGATCATTCGTTTCCCGGTGGTGAACGGGGCGTTTTCTGAGTGGCTCGGTTGAATATGGGCGTTTGCTAGTTGAATTGGTTCGTGCGCTGTGCAGCAACAATCTTTTTTGATGGTTTTTTAACTGTGTTGTCGAATTTGATCGATGATGGTAAATTATGGATGGGGGGAATGGCAAAGCATGGAGCGCCAGTGGTTTATTGTTTTTAGCTGCATTTCTATTGGTCATGGTGGTGACTTCACCTCGATTGTAAAATCCTATTTTATTGCATTATTGTTGTGCAACCCTCAAGATGTTTAAAGTGACATCCTCAGTCCTGTTATACAAAAACATATTTGAGTACTTTCGAGTCTGACTCATTTTCATTAAGATTGGCTTTATTTTTCATGCTTGTAGTACCTTTTTACGTAGCATGCTTCTGTGAAGACCTGACTTTTCTTTTTTCTTTCTTTCTCTCTCTACAAAAAAAATGATTACACACATTATTTTCAGGGACAACTTACATGCATATATACGTAGATCTTCTTCTTTTGTGCGTTTTATTTTTTGTCTATAAAACAGTCATCGAGCATTGATTTAAATGCTTTTTATTTTGAAGTAGATTAAATAACGCGTATGGCCTATTTTGATCTTGAAACAAATCCAGCCACTTCTATTAAATCAAAGTCAAGTGATGGAACAAAATCAATCGATGTTTCTAATTTTCGTCCGGTGAACAAAAAACCTATAGGTAATGATTGGGACGTCAAACCGGGTGATATACTTTCATGGAGTGATTACAGATCATCAAATACTTATTTGTAAGTATTCGACTTCACGTAGAAGGTAATGATAAAGCAAAGTATTTTAAGCAAGCGTGTCCTACAAAGCAAAGTGATTGAATGAGCGTTAATTGGAAGAAAGCCAAGATGATCTACTCGATCTACTATTGATTTTTATGATTAATTAATAGATAGTTTTCGATCTTCTATTTCTTGATAAAAAAAACAAATACTGTACTAGAGAATACACCGCTATCGTTTCTATATGCAACAATAGGAACTTCAAAGCTATTGTATTTTCAGTGTAACTGGTCAACATCGTCTTCGAAAGAATCGAGATACATCCGGTTCTGATTATTTGACTATTCCGCTCTCGATAACACGACTCTTTCCATCTGTTTTAACTCATTATGGCCCACTTCTGGAAGCAGAACCCGATCTGGTTGCTATAATCGAATTGTCACCTACAGATGGCATTTTTGCTGAACGATTTGGTTCACCATTACCAGAAACGATTTGTAACAGGAATGATATTCAATTTTTAGTTAATCCAATGGAAGATATGTTCTATGTTTCAATCAATGGTGAAGATAGTGATGGTTTTCCAATCGATGGAACCAAGGCAGAAGAGATCATCGCGTATATTGGCATAGCAAATGAGAAAAAAGCAGCGTTTCTTGTCAAATATGAGATAAAAGTAAGATTATCTTCGATACTTGATCTACTTTTTAAAATAATATTGCGTAAATAACTGCTGCTGAAAGAGAACAGAAACCCATTCCTCTTGTATTACCTGTTTAACGAAATGAGTGTCATTTGTTCTCATTATTGATTTTCATCTTGTCGAGGAGACTAACATTGTATAGGCATAAATTATAGAAATTAATTTTAATTCGATGAAATTTTCTTACAGGAACCAGAAAAAATTAGCAGATGGCCACAAGCAGCACCTTCTGGTCTGCCTATCGGGTGGACTCGTAAATCTTATGGTTTCACGGTAGGTGGTGCTGACTATATTAGTGGTACATGGAAATTTGAAGGACCCGAGACAAAGAAAGATGAAGTATACAAGATTGTAGAAAAATACTACGATGGATTCGATGTTCAAATAAATTGGGAAACTGATTCAAGTTAAATACACTTCAACATGCTATGTAGATCAAAATATTTTAGGTGAATTTCAACAAAACAAGATGACTTTTAAATTTCTACTAATAACCTTGTTTTTAAATTGAATGCTTGAACTGTATTTTTGTGATTTTCTAATAACATATATTTTAACATGTTTTCTTTTGGTCTAATAAGATTACGTTTTATTTCAATATATCCAGTACGTAGTATCATTATTTTGAAAGAAACAACAATCAAATCATGCTATTATCGCACTTGTCCTGATCTATCTGAATCTCATGATATTTAAGGTCAATCATGTATTGACTTCTATTGATGATGAATACTGTTCAACGTGGGTGTAAAAAGTCCGGTGATACTATCATCTTCCGGGGTATGTGTTCATTAGCCAAATATAATTTTATATTTTTTTTTCACAGCAAGTCATGCTCAATGTTGGCATGCTGTCTTAGTTGCAGAGATAATTCTCACAGAAACATTTTCACTGATACGAAATAATTATTCTTGTCCAATTAGTTTATTGAGCGTCATTATAAGTCTTTCCTTGCAAAAGAATTCATTCGTTAGAAATATTGATACATTAGTACAGAAAAATGTGAGAGAAATTGAGCTCATGTTTGCTAATATAATTCATATGAAATAAAATAAAATAATTTTAATTCGCTGCAAACGAGACGATTAGTTAATTGAGATATGTTGAATATTAAAATGTTTTTTCCTACCAGCTCTGGTTGCATTCATAATTCATTGTGAAGAAGTTCTCATCATGCGCACAATTACCGATATACTATCAACTTATTTCGACATATCATAGTATATAAGTTGGACACTGTTTCTATCAGAATTTTACTGTTTTTAGTTTGCGGTGTTTTAATTTTGTTCTTGAAAACTTTATATTTGATTTTCAGCTGCTTTCTACAAGATATTTGACATGTTATTAAATGGTAATTGACGAATAAATCTCCCCTATAATCTATTTTCAATTGATCGTACAAGTTTTTTCTTATTCTCTTCACTTCGCTAAACAATTTTTCTCGGAATAGACTCCGCACGCTATTCATTTTGTAACTAAAAAGCTGTTTCAAAATCAATCTAAGAAGCAATAAAAGTCAAACACCTATAACACCTCAACGTTTAGCTCAAACATTTATCTTTCTACCAACAAAGCGATTATTTGGTAACTTAGAAATACGGTTCGGCCGTGTTTGATATTGCTTGTGAAGACTTTGACATCATAGGTTAGTTTATCTAAAGAATGTTTACAAATCAAATGATTAATACAAAAACGTTTTTTTTAAATATTTCTGTAGCTCCACATCATTTTTATTGAGATCTTTCACGACATTATTGTTCTCGATAGATTTCTATTGATGAAGAATATACTAAGCAATGAATGAGTGAAACATCCAACAATTTAATTGCAACAGAATAATATGTAAAAATAATATATGATATTTGTTCATAGTCTACATGAGAAATTTGCGTCACAAGACAGCAATGACTCTATGTTTGACTAATAACGTTATCGCTATCTTTTTTCTTGTTTTGTTGATGTAAACTGATAAGACAATAATGCATTCGCCGTTCTTACCGTTAGTGCTAATTTTACATTTTTTTAATATAAATAGATAGGCAATTACTTCTCTATAGTTATGACAAAAATGAATTTTCTCGTGACTCTATTTGCAATCAGCATTATTACTGTCTGTTATGGTGATATTACCATCTACCGTGGTACAGCATGTGGCTGGGCTGAACTCACAACATCTACTCCCATTTTGTGTAATGGGACCGATCCACGTCTTGGATGTCCTTCGGGTTATTCACGTCAGCTACTCGACGAAGGAGTAACGTACTGTTACAAAATCAACACAACTAGTGGTGGAAAAAATGGGATACCAGGCACGCTATGTGGTGGCCTGGCCCGCGCAGCATGTGGCGGATTCATCCCAAATAAGCAATGCCCTCCAGGATATACACAAGATTATCGTTATATATGTTATAAGAGCGATCCGGAAATTGAAGATTTATCAGGCACAATTTGTGGTGTAATTAGTGGCGGTAAAGGTCAGACGTGTAATCGTCTCCAAAAAGGAACATGCCCAGATGGATATTATGCCATTAATTTTGATCAGGAAGATTGGCATGGTTGCTTCAAAAAATAGATAACTCGTATGCTAATGCTTCATTTGATTTTTTTCTAAATACGAAATTATGCTTTAAAAACTCCTTTCTTGAAAACAAACTAGGAAATAGTTTTTAATTCGAACTTGGTATCAATGCTTTTTTCCTGAGTGGTTTTCAGTATATCGATCGTAGAATAATGTGCGCGAACCTGTTTTTGATATCTATATCTTTGACAAATATTCGTTCATGACCAGTAAATCTCATTGGGAATCTTAATATGAGGTTTCCTTCTCGAAATCATTTAAGCTTATCGGCTATTGAATTTAAGAATCACATTCTATTCAAAAACAGTAGAGAAACTGAGCTACACGCCTCATTCGATTGAGAATCACAGTTCTTTTTTACATTTGAAATCTTCTAAACTGATTATCATATTTATTCATCACTATCAGAAATGAAGAGAAATAAGATTGTGCAATTTTAACTTGGAAGAGCAAGAAGAAAAACATAATTTTTTTCCATGTGTATGTGCCTAGCTGAAAAATGATAGATGACTTTTTTTTCAAAAAAGAAACCTTAAAATATAATATGTCATTTCAATTCTATCCTTTTTGTTTACCGTCATAAAAGATTCTGTCTGTAAAATTGTCCACACGACCGCGTTATAAAAATACGTTTTGAATTATAAATACTGCAGAAATTCATGATCTAAGTGTGCAACAGAGAATCAATAGAAAATTTATAGATGTATTTCATACATGAATAATTAGTCTTTTACCTGAGAGTATACTGGAACAAGTTTCCTCAAAGAATGAATGTAATGTACTGTGTACCGATAATGGCCAGTTAATAACATGAAACGAAGAAATTTAGTTGCATATTTTCCTCACTGGTTTGATATTTAATATCTGAAGTATGATATCTAAATCTGTCACATACTGGCATTCATAATGGATAAACATATAGTACAAGCCTTAATGATTGGAAACGTGAGAGGCTTAGTGGCAATTCAAGATGATGGCATCAAATCGAAATAGAAAGTTTAAAATTGATACTAGAAATTTGAACAGAGTTTTATAGAGATTCTTAAAATCATTTGAATTAGAAAGATTCGTTTTATCTTGCTTAGGTGCCTAATTAGATATCATATTAATGTTGCTTATGATAGAACTTATGTACAATTATTCGCAGTGAAAAAAAAAGACAACATATATGTGTTTGGTATAAGCAGATTTTTATTCTTCCTAAATGTTACATTTAACCTTGGAAAGTCTGAGTCGCACAGTGTGTGATTAATCGACTGAATTGAACCCATAAAGCTGGTTCAAACGCAGCGCCTCTAGCAATCCATATGACTCTTGCCATGTCTTGTGGTGGTAAACGGCAAAATGTTATCTCAGGATTGCTAGGATCTGGATTAAGATAACAGTCGGTATGTGAATCGAAACCATGCTTTTTTATTTCCGGACAGGATGCAAGTAAATTGTTTTCTAAATAGTTTACCATCTTTTGTTGTAGACAAACACGTACATCATTTTGCCATGCCTGATTAATAAATGAATCTTGTTGATTTAAATATGCCATGCAGTATTTGTAAATGAATTTTTGTACGTATCCTTGACTACCACAGGGAGAAATGTTTTCTAAATCAATGTAAAAGTCACAGCTACTATTGCTGATGGCTGATTTCAAAAAGGCCAAGTCGTTTCGAGTCATTTTTGGCTGGACCATGCGTGACAAAGCCAATTGAATTGAAGCGAAAACAATGAAAACGAAGAAAAGATGCATCTTCATGCTGAATGTGAAGTGTCGAGTGAGGAATGGTGTATTATGCTTATACTTCGAAAGTGAAGAAGGCATAAGAGCAGTAAGACCTTGATCCTCGACAAATGTGTTTATGTAATAATTGCTTTTCAATTATTCGATAAGAATGATATTATGAGGGCATATTATATTTCAATATTTCAATTAAAAAAATGGCTTGAAGGATTAAGAAGAGCATTATTACGAGATAGGCACAAAAGCAGTAAATAACTAAGGTTTCTTGTAGATAATTTAGTGATTTATTTGAAAATGAAATTGATTGCATTTCAAGTAGATATATCTTGAAGACTAAATGTTGAAATTTAAAAAATTACTTTGAATGAAGCAAGACAAGTCAATATTTCATGACTGTACAACATCGAAATAATCTATTAGATACAGTTTTTCTAATGATTATTCAAATATTTCTTAGAGAAAATAGATCATCAAATTGAAGACCTCAAACAGCTCTGTAAATTTACAAAAATTCTGAAGAAATAATTCATAATGATTAAAATAGTGCTGCACTGGAAGACAGTTTCATATAATCGAACTTAACAGAAATATGACAAGAGATACATATGTTGAGGTTATGAGAAATAACAAACAAGAACCCATGTCGTCGATAGCGACTGCAAAGCGGCGTAATATCGCCGCTATTGCGATTGCACTGTGACCCTCTTTTAGCGCTCCGCTATGTCTGTTATAGTGAGATATAACGGCAATATGAACCAATATTGCGCGCTATAGCGTTACATATTTCACTATCTTGGTATTTCTGTACGCCCGCATTCTAGATAAGTTCCATGATTATTTTCTCCTTCCAAATTTTATTTGAATATATTAAAAAAAAACTACATTTAATAAATATCAACAACAAAAAGAAGAATTCTTTTAGAAAAATTTTTTGTTCGTGTACAAAACCAATTTATTCATTGGGCTTCATGGGTTTTATTTTTGCCATCGCCACTCTCCTCTTTGCAAGAAAAACTTCACGAAGCCATTCATTAAATATTTGTTCTAATTGATCATCACTAAGTTTAAACTTAAAACGAACAACTTCTAAAAATAAAGAATCACGATTTCAGCATGACGAAAAAAACTGAATTATTGCCTTGTATCATATTGGTTGTAGAAAAACAAACAAAATAGTCACTGTACTAGTAATGTTTGTTGTTTCATAGGTTCACTGAGTTGCTTATAAGAAAATTATAAAAATACTACTTCAATCTCAACTAGATTTTAAACTCAACTGTCACATCAATAAAACTTTAAGTATAGTAATTGATCAAAGATTTTAGTGGCTTTAAGAAGCAAAATTTTTTAATACCATACTTGTCTTTTATTTAAAGCTTTTTGAATATTCATTTGATTATTATATAAAGATTTCATCTTCATTTCTAATCTCTCTTGATCGATCAACAATGGTATAAAGTTTTTTGTTTCATAGACTGAGCACAATTGTCTTTATCCATTGATCTGCTAATTGTAGAGTCAGTTGTAACAACACTAGCTAATCGACGACCATTAAACGTAGGAATTTTAATTGGTTCAATTAGTTTTATAAAATTGTCTTTATCGGGTTGAGTATTATATGATGATGTATCATCACCTCCTTGCATGTTTTTAGATTTATTCTTTTTTTCCGTGGTGGTGAAAATGAATCAATAGTTGGTCGTTTACGTACATTGATATTTGAAATAGAATTTAATGTTGGTGTTCTTGGTGTCAGAATTAAATTACTATCTGTTGTTGGTGAAGATAATGACACAGTTTTTGGATCAGTACAGGAAGTAGAGGCAGTTGTTGTTGCTAAACATTGTAGTATAATTCCCTCGACTGTAGAGAGGGTCATACGAAATTAAATGCGTTTGTTTGTTTGTTATCTTGATTGGGGTCAAGAAAACATATATGAGAGTTTAGCTTATTTTGAGAGTTTCCCCTATTTTGATCGAACTTTGCCATAGGTTATCAAGGGCCCTGAATCCGAATTCGAAAGGTCATTTCTTTGGCCGAGGCTTCATTGGTCAGGAGCTGACCAACCAGAAATGAACTTTCTCATTTTATGGCTTTTGGTCGTTTTTATCGAAGTTTGCTATTGGAGCGAAATCTTTCTTCAGGATTTTGTATGTTTTTATGAAAGATACTGTAATCGAGAGTTTGACTGAAGATTGATTGTGCACTTACGTGTGTTGAGTTTCTTAAGCATTGGTTTTGTCCGAATCTTCCACAAATAAGAAGTGTATTGCTGGAAAAAATAAAAGTAACCGCATTTTCAACTTAGGCATTTTGAGTAGGATAGTGAGAGAAAGAAGATACGAGTACTGCCTTCCATTTCGTAGGGAAGATCTCTGAGAGCTGCATCGAAAATAACTCTCCAATCGATAGTGAAATCACATACGGGAGCTATTTTTATATAGTGTTGTTGTTAGTCAGCATACGATTTCACTATATGACGCCTACGAATCCACGTCGATAGTGTCATCATGATCAACGAAAGAATCACTACAGTCATAAATGATTGTAAGATTTCATTTAATCAAAATGTTAGCGCGAAGTAGCAATTTTATATGCAGATATTACTATCATTTGAAGCTCAGCATCTTTTGAAACTCAATGATAACATTACTGTGGTAGAGGAGATTCGGTGCTTTGATATCCTCAAGGTTGTCTCAGGTAAGGTAAAATAGTATATCGTTCATCTAAACATTTTAGTCGAGGGTTAAGCGAATTGGACAGGGACGAACGTTATTTGTCTTATTTTGTATAAGCATATGTTAAACATTTAAGAGTATTGTATCGAAGCATAAAATAGAAGGAGTTATTACTGAGAAAAATGTTCATCTCGCATCAAGAAGAAGTAATTTATATTTTTTTAAAATGTGAGATGTCTTAAACTTAAAAGAATTCAGAAGCATCTAAATCTTTTTATATAATAATATTATGGGGTTAGTTTATTTTAAATATGAATTCTAATAATTTAAAATACAGCAAAGATAATTTTAATTTAAAACTAAACTAAAAAATAATATGAAAAAAATTAGTTTCTATTCCATGCAAATATTTTTTTAAATTTTATGTTCAAATTAATGTTTTTAAAGCCCAACTAATTAATCGCACTTGTTTATAAATCAAAATATATTTGTCAAAAAAATTATAAAATCTCCTTAATTTATTTTTATTTAATGTTATCTGAAGTAATCGCGTTTCGGTAAAAGATAATTTTTATTGATGCATAAAAATTAAAAAATTTGGAGTAAAAATTGTATTAAATAGCATCTTAGAATGATCATGAGTGTGTAGAATATGACTTCTCGATCGTATGACTCAATGGTTCTGGCGATAGATGCGTGTCCCATTGCATACATGTTCGAATCTAATCTTCATCCTTGCATATTTTCATTCAGTCTAGTCCAGATTCGTCGACTATATAAGGCTACAGCTGATTGTATACTTGTCCCAGACGTCCTTAATTTTTCATTCATAAACCATTTTCGGACGGGCAACAGGGACACTCGTCACGACTACTCTTATTAGATTTTATGACTAGTCATCAATCAGAGTACTAGGACGCATATGCATGATGGTCAAAAACTCCGACTAGTCATGAGCGAGTAGATTTTGAGACAAAGACTAGACGAGACGGGTCGACTTGACTAGAAAAAATACTAGTCATTTAACCAGTCTTTTGCTCACTTGTTGTGTCATACAAATGGCTTCAAATTCATTGGTCATAACAACATCGCCCACATTGGAAGTTCAAAATCGACATTTGACATCTCCAACAACAAGATTGTTGAAATAACATCCTTGAACAATAAGTGCTGTTGAGCCGAGTTGAAAACCACGTTAAGGCCGGAATCTTAAACTTGCCGAGTCACTGCATCCACTAATATAAATGGTTTCTGTGTCGGTACGAAATACAAATAAGCCAGGGCCATTAACGTTGCTGAAGGTAGACAGTTGCACTACGTTGTTTGTTCGAGAAGAAGGTAGCATTTCAAGTATAACTCCATCACCAGCATTGAAACCGGTTTGTCATCCTGGCTGAGTTATAGACTGCGTTGAATTCTTCCATTGTATACAAACATAGTATTCGATATGGATATTGGTAATACATATGATTTATTCACTCTTCTTTTTCTACTCAGTCATACAACATGCGTTGTCATTGTTTGACTGCTCTGATTTGTCACTGAATGTATTTGATATGAATGATACTATTCACATTATCACGTTACGTGCGTATATATCACTTTTAAACAAGTAGATACAAGTGTCATCTATCAAGATTTCCTATAATTTACATTAAAGTATTTCGAGGCACATAGTAACGACAATGGCGTCCTGATATTGCTACCTGATGGAAGAAAAAAGTCACATATGCTTTTATGCATCACACCTAATTCAACAAGTATAACATCGAGGTATGAGTGCTATTTATTACAACGCTCTATGTAGAACTAAACCTGCAGGTATCTTGTGAGAAATATCAAAGCTTTCCATTATTTCCATTGAGAAAGCATATTGATTTTGACTATATGCCTTTGTTATGTTGTATCTAGAATGTTTTACATATCAACCATGATCAAATTATCATCTTTTTGAGTGGAACATTTCTCAGCCTATTGTGAACTATCTATAAAATTAAATTTTGTATTTCAACTCTCATACTATCGAAAATAGTGAACTCGAACTATCCCTAATCCAATCTCCCTGTAGACGACTCACCAGGAAGTCTCCACAAAAATAGCAAAATTTATAGGAAGCCCCTGCCATGAGTCTCGGGATTTGTCAGAGAAAAATGGATGAGATATCTGAATAAAAACACTCCTCTATTTTTTTAAAATTTAAAACAATTAAAAGAGTATATTCAATTCATTATAATAGAAATTTTGAAATAGTCAATCAGGATATGTTCTAGATCTTAATCGACCGAATCGGTCAAATAAAGTTGTAGAATCAGAAGAGAACTTTAATGAATATAGAAAAGAAATGTGCGTCAAGTTATGCATGTAGCTGTTAGTGCAGATAAAATGAATTGACACAATATATGATACATGCTGCTATTTTCGAGTAGGATATCTTATTTACATTATGGCTACTGTGACTCAACTGAATATGTTTTCATTATAAATCCAAAATTCTACTATGATGAAAAGTAAGACCTCCACATGTTTTGAGAATCTACCCAATGAACTCATCTATGGGATTTTTGACTTCATGGATGGTCTTGAACTTTATCAAACTTTTTACGATCTGAATTCTCGTATTAATAATATTCTAAATTCAACATCAAATATGCATCTTGAACCAGATTCTTCAATAGCCACTAGCGATTCACTCGTCGAACGGTTTGCTCAGCGTGTCGTTCATATAAGAGTTCGTCGATCAGATTATCTCGATGCAACTCGATTTCTGAATGTTCATTCGTTAGAGTTTTACGATTATTTACCTCAGCAACAATTGGAACAGATTCGGCCTGAATGCTTTGCTCATCTTGTTTATCTTCGAATGTGTTATATAGACGACTCTGTTGTGGCATCGACTTTCTTTCAAAGGATTTTCTCTAACGAATTTCCATCTTTGCATAAATGTGTGTTGGATGAACTCACACCACCTGATTCCAGTCAACAATGGTTAGGTTCACCCTCACTTCGTTCACTCAGTGCTCGTGGATTTGCTTTACCTCTTTATTCATATATACTTAATTCTTGTTCCAATTTGACTCATCTACACTGGTCGACCATCCGATGTGCAGACGTAGATAATGAAGCTACTCTTGTTCGACACACTCATCTCAAACGTCTTTACATTCGGACGATAAATATTCAAATAATCGAAACTATTCTTTTTCATGTATCTAATCTTAAACGACTTTATATTGTCTCCGATTGGTCTCGTGGAAACAATTGTCTACCGCTCGATTTTAAACGACTGGCTCATATTCTAATTAGATATGTACCATCTTTAAATTGCTTCGATTGTGATACCATGGAACGTAATCCAATTGATATTGATACTATTCATGGGTTTCATCCATGTTTCATACGCATTCAAATTGAATGCGTACCTGATGGTCGCATAAGATTTTTCACCATAAAATAAAAACATTTTTTTTAATAAAGCTATGCTTCTGACAGTTTGTCTTAGTTAAGAACTGACCACCAAGCACGACTAAGCTTTTCTTCTATCTGCTATATATATATCATACTGCAATTACGGAACGTGTCGACTAAAGCTAGCAACCACGATCGATTCATATTAAATGCTTCGGTGTAGAGTTTTATAAGTCGATTTAACTCATTACTCAACCATGTAAAATTAAAATGTGAATTACAGTGAATGCAACACATTGATCATAAAAATGATAAGTGAGAAATTGACGTAAAACATACGTAAGAGACACATATATATGTATGTCATCGATCTAATTCGCTCCTTTGTAGAAATCAATATCAATGGCATATTCAACACTTATTTAGAGTGAAGTGAGCAGATGTATACGATCCACGGGTTGAACCCCGTGGGACGGGTCGCGAATTTTTACAAAACTTCGGGGTTGACAAACTATGGGTATCGATTCACTGATGGGCAAGCGGGGTGGCTGAAATAAAAATAAAAGGCACGGCTTTCGGACGGACAAAGATCTTTCACGGGTTACGATGAAGGGTCCTAAAAAATATTGGGAGATGTCGTTTGTCTAGGTGTGTAGTACGAAATACAGATTAATTGGTTCTTTATTTTCAACCTATCATGTACAGGCTTGCCTGTTACTTGTTTTTTTCTTTTCTTTCTGTTTGGTATGGACCACAGGACCCTGAGCCAACAAAGCAGTAAGAAAAAAGTTAAACAACAGCAAGTGTTACGTGATTGTTCTGCAAGTTTTTGAACGGGGCTAGATATAGCATTGATATCAGTGGTTGGAGAAAAAGATTCTTTATTGAACTACGTTTTTGGTTTTTCCTGAAAAACTGACAAGTGAAAAATACAGGGCATCATTACATAGTGACGACATATGAATATGTTTGCTGCAGGAAAATTTGATTTTCAAATATTATTAAATCAATTCTCTCATATTTCTGTTTTACCACATTATTTTTAGATATAAATTCACCTAACTACTGCCTTTTTTAATCCCACAAGAGATCAGGCAACTTTTGAATATTTTCGCGCAGTATAACAGTAATTTGTCTACATGAAAGCTGTACTAAATGACAAAAGGAAACAATTTATCTGATAAAAATCCTTTGTTACACCAATATTATATATAAATGATATATAAAACAGGGTGCGGATGGGTGTTGGCATCATCAGAGACATGAAATAAATGGACACCACCCCACCCACGCTTTTGCCTCAGATCTTTTCTTAAAAAATGAATTAATTATATACCATAAATAATTTAAAATAAACAAATTGCTAAATGTAAAATTTCTTCTGGTTATGCGGGGGCGAGTCCCGCAGGGCACGAAAATCCCTTGTCACGCACACCTCTGGAAGTGAGTGTCGTACAATACTCAAATCAAATATTTTAAGTTGTTGAGTATCACTTACTTTCGAAAAAATCTTACTCGACTATTGTTTTTAGATTACTTTCCTGTTAGCGGCAAAACAAAAATATTAGATCTTCACATGTCGATATTAAGTATTGATCTTAAACATGATAAAATCTTTTGTATCAAAATAGCACCTATTTAAGCATATTTTTGCTAAACTATATATCAATAAATCATTGCCGGAATAATATTTTGAAAGAGACAGAACCCAATGGTATAAGGATAAAGTGCCAATCTTACTTGATCAATTGATCACTATATGTAACCGTTGAATCGGTGTCTAAAAAATATACTGTCGATCAACGTCATCAGAGTCTCAATGGTACTGTGTCGTGGATTCGTTTAAAGCATAAAGAATAACTATCAATAAAACGAAAATATTTTTAAAAACGAAAACTGCTGCAGATAAAATCGAATAATTCTAAGTGGTGTATATTCATTTCTTTTGGTGAAACTTTTCACTCTAAATTATTCAAAAGGACTATAATCGTAAAATCTGTTGTGTGCAGGTTTTTGAATTGATAATGACGCTGTCAACGAGTGCCCTCCAAAATAGTGTTTTTTCATTGGATTGCGACTCTTTGGACTGATATTGCCTTATATGATCTGTTGATAAATGTTTTAAAATAATAAAATATTTTCTTTTGACTTGTATACTTTCATAGATTTCTCTCAACTGAAAACAAAACGTAGCTCACGATAGAAAGACGTTTAGTGTAATTGATAGCGCATCAAAAAGGGGTGCACAATGAAATAATTTGAATAGACATCTAAAAGTTCATCTTATTTATCCATGTGTTACCTTTCTTCGAGCGACTATGGTAAGCAGTACAAGAAATATATATGCCCCGATCTGTTGCATTGACCTTTAGATGGTTTAATATTCTCACTACTCATGTTACAATATATGAAGATCGAAGTGAAATCAAATACTTTCAGTATTGGTTGATATTTTTCTAGCTACTAAACTCAACATTCATTCACAATCTTTTTTTTTCCTGTCACTCATTCCCTGATACTCTATATTTGTGTTAATAAAATAAACAAGATTCTATTCCATTCTATCCTAAACTATTTGTTTTTATTTAGCATAAAAAATAGAAACCTTTGATAACAATCTCTTTAAAGGTGATTTAAGTATGACATCTTGGTTGGTACATCCATCATTACCATCAGGCAATGGACGTCGTATTGAACTTGCTGGTCTCGATTTATGGATTCTTTCACGCATCGATAGTGTGTTTGTTTATCCGTTCGAATTGAATATTGATCGATTCAAAGATGCACTAAGTCGTATTCTTTCTTTATGGCCGTTAGTATGCGGTCGTTTTCTATTATGGAACAATGGGCAATACGTGATTGAAATGTCCGACAATGCCATTCCTGTGAACTATACAGAAAATCATACAATGAAAAAATGGCCAAACGAATTAAATGTTGTTCTTCAACTCAGTAACAATCCACTTACTGGATTTATTGATGAAGTGCAAACTATGAAATTGATACATGGTTCACAAGAAGAACCGCTGGTCTGCTTTAAACTAACTCGTATCGTTCAAAGTGGCGAATGGGTACTCGGAGTCAGTTGGAAACATGTGCTTGGTGATGCTGAACCTTGTTTACGTTTTTTAAACACATTATCGCGCGTATATCAACAACTTGTACCACTAGAACCCTTGCCTGTATTTGAACGACGTCTATGGCGACAAGATGAATATGATCAATCTCTCGTGTCTGTAACGAAGCAGCTGCGCGATGCATTGCCACTGACAGACATGTTGAAGAATTTTATGGGCATACAAACAAAATACGACCAAGTGAATCTACACTTTTCAGGGGAACACTTATTTAAACTACGGGAATTAACTGGCGAAAAAAATATCACTTTACAAGACTCACTCACTGCATACATCATTGCTACACTCAATACATGTTGCTATCAAAATGATGATCAACGTCTTATTCTACGCACGAATACTACGGTTAATTTTCGTGGCGTCTCAGATTTGATTGCTTCAGTAGGACAAGTTTCGAATGCAGTCTTCATGATGTTATCGGATAACTTCGATGATCCATTATCTTTGTCAAGTATTGCCAAGACAATTCGTTGTTCGATAATTAAATCCCGTGATCCGAAATTTCTCGAATCCTCTCTTGCTACCGCCGATGCATTGATGAAAAGCATAGTTCGCGACAATTTAACTCCAAATTTAGGCAAGTTTGCAAACGAAGTAACTGTGAATTCAAATTTACGATATGATTGGGCTGATCTAGTCGATTTCGGTTACAAAAATAAGTGTCGTTTCTATACAGCATGGACTGGTCCTTTGTTTTTTCGTGTGTTTCGATTGAATCCCGTAGAAGATGACCAAGGAAGTTTCGTACGAGATCAACATGGAGCCGAAGTTGCTTTTCTGATAGAGAAAGACAAAAAAGATACCTTTCTTAGTGCATGGCATAAAGATATTGCCGAAAATTTTGTAAACGTCAAACAATAAAAGAAGAACAATTGAAATTATGTTTTAATTATATTTTACTTTGATTAATGTAATAATAAAAATTTGTTCGAGTTCAAACTAGCATTGAATTAGCCGTATATCGAAGGGTCGAAAGTAAACATGGCCATATAAATCACCAATTAATACGACAAGTTATACTAATCATTTTTATTAATTTATTTAATAAAACTAAAAAATGCGAAAAACATCTATCTATCATTTTTTATTCGGTGAATTATGGGTTACAACATTTTATACGTCGAGATATCCAGAGCGAGATCATTGAATGACACAAGTATTTCAGAGCCAATGGATGTATTGTATAATATTTTTTTCTAAACTACGTAGAATATCATTTTGGTGGAACGGCGCAAAACAAAGACAGAGACCTTCAAAAAGACAATTTCAGATAACAGATAATATCCTAGATTTATCTATTACTAACGTTAGCAATAATGTTGAACGCTATCATGACTGCAAACATTTTAATCATCCCTAGTACGTTAATATTGATGAATAGATGGATCTTTGTGACTATGACGAAGAAGTAGATTCATAAATAGTATATGCCTATTCAAAATCACATGCTATATATATCGATCATCCATCAGAATCTATCCCATCTACACTAAATACATAAAATCTTGCATAGAAATTATATACGTAGACGATTCTTCTAAACTTGTACAAAGGATAATCATAATGAAAGAGTCAGATCAATTGATAGAGATTTTAGAGAGGTATTGTTATTATGCTAGATATTTTTATCAAGACGCTACCAAAATCTCATGTTCGATTTTATTTCTCATAACTAAAACAATTATTAAAACATGCGGAAATAAATGTTAGCTTTCCAATTGTTTGAATAATTCTAACTACATACGATATAATGTGTGGGTCATAGGTTTGTCATTGAAAGTCTTCCCGATCGGCATGCATATCTCATTTAGAGGAAAAACAATCCCGGTTGTCAATAAAACAAGTCATCGCTATGGTTTTAATATTCTAGTGGTATGAAGTAATCAGCGCGCATTATTAAAAATTGAAACTGAATGGATGGTGTTGCTCGGTAACTTACAGCGTTAATGGTGTTCTCTTTTACTGTCAAAGAAAAGTTTTATTTATAAAAGAAAAACATATTCTTATGACAACAGAAGCGCTGCTCGTTACTGATCTTCATTCATCACGATGGTACAGCATTTTTCGATTCTTATCAAGATTTAATAGACAATCGATTTCTATTTCTCGTCTACTGACTGTATTGCTGACAACAATAAAGTCATTCTCGTGGAAAAGACCTGTAAAATTCCTAATATGCGGATTTATTGTGCCCTATTTTCTGTTCTCAGCCTATTGTCCAATCTGGCTTGCTCTTCAGTCTGAGTCGTATACAGAAAAATCAATGAATGAAACTCCTTTATGTCCATGTCAGGTAAGCATAATGTGGGACGGAGACCAATTCGGCTTTAACGTCGATCCAAGTTGTGATGCACGAAAGTCGGGATATTGGAATTGTCGATTTCATCAAGGAGCAAAAGGATGCTACCGTCGTAAATCGACAAAGAGTGCTGCTGGAGCACAGTGTTGCTACGATAAGAATGGTATATGGATAGCTGATTGGAAAAAAGGAGCTGGCACACTCGATATGTACTATCCACAGACTCTGACAACTATTTCAACATATCAACATTTTTTCTCAGATGTTCTATCGTATTTTTCATGTTGTATCGGTGCGAGCAAAATCCTCAATTCTTGTGAGCACTACATGAAATATCGACCACCAGGTAAATGTGAACATCTGTTACTGACACCAGTATATGCGAGTGGAGATCCCGATTCATTAACATTGACAACGAGTCCGTGCAGATTGAATGAGTATTGCTAATAGAGTAAACTAGCATTTTCTAATAATAATCTTGAAGCATTATTTTTGATTTATCGGAATATATTGTAGAAATCAGAGATATTTTTTAAAGAGAAATAAAATAGAATCTGAAGAATGTGATAATCATCAGTCAAATAAAAATTAATTGATAGTGAATTTATTTGAAACATCTAACCGTACAATAAAACAAAATCACAGAACAATTAGCAAGGCAAAGATTAATACAAAAATGAAAAATTTCAAACTAATGTTGTATTACTTGTCTAAGCAATCGTATTTAATCAGTAGCCTTGATAAACAGAGTAAACATTTTAGAAAACATATGCTCATTGAATTTTAAGATAGTTCTTCAAAACATTTGGCATCACATTGCTGGTTTCTGCTATCATCACGCGATCATATTGAAACCAATTGGTGATCAGGGATTCGCCCACTACGTAAGTGTATTTGGTAATATCGTCGGATGTCATTTTTCTGTTAATACATCTATTTGAAATTCTGTTGTGATTGATCTCTTTATAAATCTGAAAAACATATGGACCTGCGGATGTAGCACAATGTTGAAAAACGAAAGAATGACTGTTTGGATCTCCGATACCGATACGTGTGTAGCGCGAAGTCTCTGAATTTTCGGGAATTGTTAACTATTTAAACAAATGCAAATGACTAGAATAAAGGATAAAAAATTGCTAATAAAACTAAGCGTTTGTAGAATATCATACTTAACGTAGATATGTTAGGATAATTATTATTATTATAGACCCGTTTACCGTTTCCAGTGTAGGGTGAGAAACAAAAAAACATACACAAACACATAAAAGAAATTTAAACAGTAAGAAAGAAAGAAAAAAAATAGAAAAAAATAGAGTCTTTATATTGTCGATGAATGTTCAGATGATCGCTGCTGAGTTAGAAGCCAAGGTATATCCATCAGACTATTACCCTCTGGTGAACCAGTTTAAATAATAGTCATCATTGCTCTCCCAGTTCCAAATTCAGTAGGTGATCCACAATTTGCTGCTTTGTTAACCAATTTTGTTCTTGTTACACCAGGCTCTTGCTTTAACACACGCTTTCACGTGGTTCGTGATTCCCTGAGGTTTGAAATTTTTAACACAACCAGGACACTTGTATTGATTATTTCTGTCTTTTATTAACAGTTCTGTAACTTTTCGTTGTATCACTCCCTGTGCTACTGCTCTTTCTTTTACTCTNCCATCCACCGAAATATACGTGTTTTTGTGCGTTCGCACATTTCGTTTGTTTCTTTTCGTTAGCAAGACTTGTTTAACGTCCAACTGACAGGTTGCTAGCCTAAAAATCAGACTGTTGGCTACCGGCAGCCCAGGGTCGCCTCCCACCACTGTAAACAGTAGCAGGTCCCTGTAGAAGTTCGAAAACTCCCCCGGCAGGCGCATGTTAGGATAAACTGTCTGTTCTACATAATGTATAATCTGCAAAATGAGTACCATTAAAAGAACCAGTATATTAAGAAATAAAAAACTGCATAGTAGATATTATCAAATTGAATGTTTTCGATTTACCGAACAAGGAATCACGACTAAATAATATTTCACCCGCATGTAGCCAAAACCTAGTCTGAATGCATCCTTGTCACCATCAGATGTAGGCTATAAGAACAAAAATAAATATTTCTTTTTCTAGTCTGACTATCAGTTGTACTCCGTAGAAGATTTGATGATGATCATTCATCAGTTTAGTCATATAGAGTCCTTTCCACACGCGTGTCTTGTCAACGAGTATAACGGAACTATCGAATTCAAATTCATCGTGACCACAGACAGTATTGAAAATATTCCATACAGCAAGATGTTGCCGACTGAGAATAGCATCAGGAAAGAAGAGCGCACCAAAATGAAGATACATAGGATCTGAGCGAAATCAACTATTCGGATTTCGAACAGGATAAGCATCGATATCGAGAAACAGAACTTCAGAAAATGTGGCACTGGTAACAGCAGCTGGTTTGCATGGGAAAGTTCGGTATGGTAAATTTGGCGGGAGTGGTTTATAGGCATGTGTAGCATTTAAATTCAAAACAACAGACGCTTGCATTCAGTTTTGGAACAACACGAAGGAGGTCTACCATATTACCATGCGATCGCTGTGATGAAGTATACCGTATTTATACAAATAAAATCAAGTGAAAACTTCATCTAATCTATCTAAATATGATGATTCTAAGAGTCGATTTATCCGACATTGAGAATATGCAAATGTACACAAGAGACTTGTCATTTTTCGTATATCATACGATATGTCGTTCGTTTTAGATGCAAATGGGCTGATAATAATTTCATTTTGCTCTTCGTTAATGTAGTAGTGTTGACTGTGTAAAGCTTTAACACTGAATATTGTAACGACTATCTATTAAGCAGTCCGTTAATTTTTATGAAAATTAAATTGAACTAAATGAGCCACAGTTTCAAAATTTTACATATTTTTTACAAAAGAAATCAATATTTTAAAGAGGAAGCATTATAAATATCGAATTGGCTTTTGAATATAATTATTTCTCAACAAGAAAATAATTTCTTCGCACATTTATTTTCATACTAAGGAATTTCCTAATGGATGTTTCTATTAATATTGACAAACATTTCAATTCAAATTACTTTAAAATGTAGGACTATTGAATATTTCAAGTCATTTAAAAGAAATGGAAAAATAAGATGCATTAAAGTAAAATGCAAATGAATACTGTAATTCTATCAAATGAATTTTATGAAGGTAGATGCTTTACTAGATACTGATCCTAGAACAAGAAAAATATTATCATATATATATATATTGATTTACTCGGATTAACAAATAAACTCTACCTGCACTGGTAATTTTGTTCCAGATAGTTCGATCATTTTCAAGCTGACTTTTTCAATGGAGGCTTGAGCGTAACCGACAATGAAAACGATGCCTTGCCCTTCAAAAATCGCTTCCGGAAATGGCACAACCTGTTGAGGAAGTTTCGCAAGTAATTCAGAAACATTAAACAAAATACGTGGTTGTTCACGATTGGCACCATTGGTGACATTACACGCATCAGCTGAATAACCATAGAAACGGGAATGACTTGCAAGAAACTGACGGATTAATTCTTTTCGGAAGATAAAGCGTTGAGCATGGAAGCTGTTCTGATACGAAACGATGTTACCGATGTATTGGGATCTTCGTTCAGCAACATAGTATAAAATGATTATAACGAATAGATTGAGAAGAACCAAAAGCTGTGGCCAAGAATGTATCATACTTAGTTAGAAGTACTATAATGGAAACACAGAATTCTGTGATCCAATTAGAAAACTAAAGTTGAAGAGTTTCTGAAACATTTGAAAGCGACAATTTAATATTTGAAATATTTCTTTATAAAAATACTTCGTTTAAGACGAAACGAATTCTTGTTCCTTTCTATATTTGTCTTTACTATAGCATGAATTTAATTTCAATAGTACTTCGTTTTAGGATTCTAGAGCGTAGGCTTGTGGGCCCACTGAATTGAGATAGACAGTTTGATTTGAAACTTTCTTAAATCAATATCTAAAAAAATGGTCATGCTATTGATCGTATATTTTTCATGCAGCTTAACTTCAGCTTGAATTAAGAAAATAACTGTGAAATCAACGATTCATTATTCGTGTACAGTAAACCATCGTAATTGTAACTCTAGGAGCCGTAAATACAAACAAAATAATAGCAGCTCAATAGTTATCAATAAATTGCAGATTGTAGATATACATGTACTTTGACAATGCATACTATGGTCATCTATCACAGTCATATTTTGTTAATTTTGTGTACTTGATATGATTTGCCTATCGACCCAAGTTGGAACAGTTGAGAATGAAGACACGCTGCATCTATGCAGTTCTACATATTATTTTTGCCTTTAAACTATACAATAATAGCCAATAGAAATTGAATATTTTACCATGTGTAGAAACTGCTCGATTTTGTTCTTTACATAAACATGCAAGATGCTACGTGAATTTTAAATCTGCTTGAAATGTACACAAATCGTCGGATTTTCCTCTTGTCACCTGATTGCCATGGCAGTTCTTGTGGTTCTTTTTACGGTATGAATCACATTTTGAGTCTAGCATTTTTTCTTATCATCAGAGCCCAGTAATGATGGCCTGAGTCTTGTAGTTGCATTTTACAAAAAAAACAATTGTATCGTTATTCCAATGTTTTCAAAAGATGAAAACGTTAGTAAGCAGTTTATTGGCTCCTTGAAGTCTTTGCTTAACATATGGCACCGCAGTGAATTTGTTTTGCAAAAGAAGAAGAAAATCTAACACTATATCTACACATATTGTTCAAGAAAACTTAGGTCTAAAACAATACTAATCACAATTGGAGGCACGAATAGCTGCATAGAACGTGTGGCTGTGAAATAAATTTTTCTTCTAAAAAAATGTAAGAAATAATAGAGATTCAGCCGGTTATTACAATAAAAATTGAATGCATAGATTTATAGCAAAAAAACGCGTAGACAGTACTTATATTTCTTCTGTTCATTTCAATTCTAAAGCAGTATGCATGATCTCATGTCCATATGTTTCGCTATTATCATTAGCGTCTCGCCATTGGATCAGCCACCAAAAGCTAACAAGAACTTATTAGTCTACTGAAAATATGTGATAACAGTTACATGCTATATGTTTCTGTCGTAGATATTCGGCATCAGAATATGTCTTAAATTTGCCAATTTTTAGTATTCTACACCTTATAACCATACATCAGAGAAAAAATGTAGAATCAGTTGAACTCATTATACAACAGAAAAAAGATTATGTAAAAATGACATTTGAAATGAATCTATTATCGATATAAAAAACAACAAATTGAACTTTTTTGAGAATGATTTTCAGCTTTTTATCATTGACAATGGCATGTCTGTGTTTCTTTTTTGTCTTTCGATAAATATCTTGATCTGAGGAAAATGCTATCATTGTCCTTTACACATTAGGATACTTCTTAAGATCTTTGTCGTTTAGAAGTACAAAAGTGTTTTAATTTTTTTCCTTTTCACAAACTAATTCATTACCATAAAATAAAAGTACGACATTTGATGACTAGATGCAAGAGGAACTCCCAAACGTAAATGATTTACGTAAAAGGAACACTGAATAAATCAAAATAATATATACATATAACGATTACTAGGCATCCTGAGCTCTTTTATTGATACAACATCCGCAAATTGCACTCTTGCGAATGTTTATAAACAAAATTAAAATGTTTCGAGAATATTCTACAATCGTATAACTTTTGCCATTGTTACTTTTCAAGGCTCTTTTTTCTTGCTATAAGAATCATCGCATGCTACAGAAACTTAGTCAGTTAAACTGATTTTTTCTAATATTTTTTCTCTTATACAAAATGCTTATGTCGATTTCTCTTCGTCCACTTCATCAGCTGATTTTCCCATTTTTTATGTTCGTAATCAATGGCGAATACCAGCGGTGGAAAAACAGTGATTTAAATGAATCGAACTATTCTTTATTATGAAACAAAATATACGCTTGTCTTTGATTATTTATTAGTGTATAAGAGTAAACAATACTCGCTTGTTTGAGTCAGTACCATAAAAATAAAGAAAACATTCATTTAAGAAATAACATTGTGACATGATAGGTGTAATACAACGATTTTTTTGTTCTTTTCCCTTTTTTTGTCATTCTGGGTCATCTAACTTTTGTGGTTGGTCTGCTCTTTTACTCTTATACTATTGATAAAGTATGCACATGAGTTTGTTAACATCCATTACCGTGTGCTCAAACTCTCAAAAGGAAAGTGCAATCATCAAGATCAAATAAAAGCTTCACTTTTTCTTGCTCAATTACTAATTTTTCTTCGTCTTCTTCCTTCTTGTTCATCGGGTAGGTGTAGTCTCGACTTACTGATCGGGAGAAGAAAAAAAAGTTCTCCTTGTTTTCTCTTAATTCATTTTAATAGCTAAGAGAAAAAAATAACAAAAGGAAAGCATTTCCATCGTTTGTCTGCCAGAAAATTGTTAGACAACACATCTTATATCATACTGAGCAACTATTTAGGAAATATATCTCATGTAGCAACATACGTTCGATCTATTTGATTTTCTTTTTTTTCTTAATTTTCTTTCTTCGGTCGTTGATTGTCAAATGCTATCTATCGATCATTCAATAGTATAGTGGCCATGATCTCTATTCTCATTTTTTTTTCTGCAAACAAATGCACGGTAAGATAGACAATAGTGTCAAACTATATTAAGTGTCTTTCTTTGTCCTCTCATCCCTTTGGAAGGAAGCTCTCAAATGGGAAATAGAAAATTTATCATTGAAATTCGGCTATTGAGCTAGCGGTGAGAAAGTGAGACACGGAAAGAGCAATGATGATGACGACAATCGTATTGTTATTGTTTGTTCACTAGACATACATCAAAGTCATTTCTCTCCGCCTTAATAGGTTTTGTATATTCATCGGAACAATCAAGATGTCAATAGAAAGCATTCGATAAAAGACTTTGGACGAACGAAACACTTGGATATGATTGAATATGAACAATATAATTTTTCTTTTTCTAGACAAATGTTTTAATTAGATACACAATGAACACTGATTTTGTCGTTAAAAGCGTTCGATCAGGTATTTGTGTTTTTATTTTATTTTATTTTTAATGATCGCTTGATTGAGAAGAAACGCTTGGCTCTTTTAGTCGACTTCAATCGTCTATTTTTATCTTATAATTCTACTAAAATACATCGACAAAGAAGTTCATCAATTGAGGATAATGACGGAGTAACCAAAAGTACAAGTTTTGATAAAAAGAAAGTAAGTATAACCATTTGAATGATAATAAAACACGAGACCATTATACACGGGTTGGACTAATAAGACTAATAATAAGTAGAGAAGGAAAAAAGTGTCTTTTTTTGTATTTCATTGAACAATAATGTTTATGGATTGATAATTATTCATCAAGCAGGTATAGAATACGAATAGCAATATATCATTTATTTCATTGAGTGAGTTGACACTAATGATTATCAAATATGGGTAAGAAAGTTACCGTTTTTAATCTTATGCATGCTAATTATAAGGTCGCATGTATGGAATCATCTAGTGATACAAATTATTCTTACTATTCGTATACAATAAAACAATGATTATAATTTTTTTTAATATTTAGATTGATGATCATCTAGAAAACTCCGATTCAGAATTAGATGATAAAACTCACGAGCGACATTGCTGCTTACAATGTGACAAATCATTTACAGCATTAAGTGGCTTAAAACAACATATGCATATTCATTCGTCAATAAAACCATTTCAATGTGAAGTTTGCTTTAAATCCTATACACAATTTTCCAATCTGTGTCGACATAAAAGAATGCATGTTGATTGCCGAACAAAAGTTAAATGTAGATTTTGTGGTCAAATTTTTTCAAATATAGCAGCACTAAACAAACATCGGTAAATATTTTTAAATAAGTATCTGAGAAATTGCTAAGAGAATTTTGTAATTTTATTAGAAAATTCAAGAGCTTATCAGCTTTCATTAGATTGACTGTTTTGTTTTTGTAGTAATTTAATTTACAGGGGTGATATTCGTTTTTATAGGAAATCTTTAATTGAAACTGTTGCAGAATACAGAAGTCCTTTTTTTCTAAATGTTTGAGCTTACCGCTCTCGTGGTTCTTCTAATAAAGACAAATGTTTCTTGTTTGTTTTTAGACGTTATTGTGGTGGTTTAATATCATCGTCTTTACCATTACGTTCACCAGTATTCACGAATAAAGAAGGGATGAATAATTGGCTTTTGAATTCAAATTTATCATTTTCCATTCTTCCTTATCTAGCGCGTTTAGCTGCTACGGGTTCATTTTTGAACGGACCATTACCTTCATTTCCATTACCACCAAATCCAATTGAACAGCGCACAATACCGAATATAAATGATGATAGTATTCCCCTTGATTTAAGCATTAAAAAACCTACTCAAACTCGAAAACGTTCCTTATCGTCCTTAAGTTCATCTTCGACTTCACATGGAATAATTAGTCCTGATTCCTTACTATCGAATGATCAACAACCAAAGCAAAATGCATCATCATCATCGTCGGGACGTGATGCAACGGCCCTATCAAATGAAAGAAACCAACAACCGACAAAATTAAAAAAACCTTTCAATTCATTTGATGATGGTAATCATCACACATCGATAGATAAATCATATTATTCCAATACCTGTTTATCAAACAAATACAAATACATTTGTTCGTATTGTGGAAAATGTTTTCCTCGCTCAGCAAATCTAACTCGACATTTACGAACGCATACAGGAGAACAAGTAAATAATATTCGAATATTTATAGCAAAAATTTGAGAATTTTCTCTGCTGGAGATTTTTTTGAAGTCAATACAAGACTTCTTCTTTATTAAGATATTTATGTTCTCATGTACTTCAGTTCATAACAAAATATGAGAAAAATTATCGATACCAAAATAAGTTGATGTCTTACGTACAATCCGATTGATATTCTTTATTTCCACTCCTATTTAATTTAGATGTAGGATTTGTAGTTTAAGTGTAAATCCAAACATCTATTGCAGTTTGTAAGCCTCAGTACTCAATCTAGAGATTCTGTACTGAATTTTTCACATAATCGACCTTACAGATCGCGTTGTGTCTAGAAAGCTTAATTGAAAACAGATATCTATTCTTCAAGATGAATAGCTTGTACAATACATACTTTTCACTCAGAAGATCTCATTTTTCAGATTCCAGATTTTTTATTGAGAGAAATCCCATAGAAAATTGATGCCTGTTATAGATATCTCATGATATGTTAAGAATTCAACAAAATGATTATAAATAAGAGAGCTAAAAGAAGTAAACTTCAATTGTAGTTGTACTCAAAAAAAGTGAGTACACTCTAGATTCGTTCAGTGTGTCCGGCCGTTAACACGATAACCTTTGAAAGCCTCATCCAATTGTCATGAAATTTTGTGCACATAATGATCTCATTAATATCTCAGTCGAGTTCGAAGATGAGAAGGATCCGTCAAGAAATGGCTGAGTTATCGAAAAAATTGTCAGCATTGACCAGACCATCCCTGAGGAGGTACAGGAATTTTTTCCAAAATAAAAGTTTTTCTTAGAACTATTCACAACATATATAAATCGACTCAGTTTTTGCAGTACACGTAACAACCGGATGCGAATCCGATGTTTTCTCATTTTTTTATGTTATGCTTTTATCAGTAAATGACGAATCAGAAAGACTTAGCGAAGCGCTCTACTCAAACACATAAAAGTTTCAACGCAACAACAAGATACTCTATATTTTTGACAAAACGCCATGCGTGCCATAGAAAATACTTACTTGTTTTCGTACTCTTCAGCATGCACCTTGCAACTTTTATGTTTGGATATCACTACATATCAATTAGCTTAGATTTGACTTGTTTTCATTAATTCCATCGAAAAAGGATTCTTTGTTTATTCTAGCCTTATGATTGTAAATATTGTGAACGATCCTTTTCAATCTCATCAAATCTTCAACGTCATATACGCAACATTCACGGTCGAGAAAAACAGATTTCATCTCAATCCCATGGTTCTCTTTTGCGCAAAAAAATAATTTGAAGCATCAAACAATGAAAAATTCAATGTAATTTATTTACAATTAATACTACTATCTTAGTGTAGAGCAATTTTTCATTAGACATTTATGACAAACAAATAACAAAGAGAAATAATTTTAGTCCGAAGAAATAAATAATTCTGATACGTATTCAAACGACAGGAAAATATTTTGAAATAAAAATGATTATTAAAGTAAATCTTACTTTACTGGAAATTCTCTTGAACACAATGAAAACCACAACCTTTGAAAAAATAAAATTCGACATTACATAATTTATAGTACCATGAAACATATGCAACGAAATAAATATATTCATAAACTAAACTTGACATCGATTATGTAAGAACAGCGATCATCACCGATGTGACAAGGTTAGGCAATCGATGTCGGGCATTTTTTAATATAAATAATTCAACAAAAGAATATAATGCAAGGTACAAATTTGCTGTCGGAATTTATGTGAAAAAAAGACTCCAATGGCAATCGAGTAAAACATTTCTCGAGTAGTTCGAACAAATACGAATGTAGAAGAAAAATTCGGCTTGTGAAATAAAAATGGTTTGAATTCATCTGTTGTGTCCGCATTTTAGCTTTTACGAAATGAAGATCAAGGAAAACTAGACAGTATGAGGTCTTTTCTGTTAGTATTCAATATCATTCATATATTCGAAGCAACGTTATTGTACTGTGGATTTATAGGTGAGCAGATTATCCACGATGATTGAAAGATAATGCATACGGGGCAAGTATATGTTTTTCATAGACTTGTTTTGTATCAATAGGTAAGAATACAAGAATGTTTGAGATTCGTAGAAATATTTTAGCCAACATTGTATTGGTTGTTGACCTATCTAGTTCTATGGTGAATGCTGATTATGAATCAGAAATTTTATAATTTCTGAACGAACAGAAAATCTCTCTCTCTCTCTTGTTGTAATCTATTTGTAAATCATACTTTGAATTGTTATTATTTGTATGTTTTTGAATACGAAACTCTTTCGACTCGATATTTTGCAAGTTTTATTTGCTGAAATCATATCTATTTCGTAGATGCAATCTGAAGAAAAAAGGATAGGCAATTTTTCGTGTTTTTAAATAATTAATATTTCGATCGATGAAGTAGCGTTGCATTAGTATAAATAATACTAAACGTACCAGTTGTACTGCCGCCAGTTGTTGATTTACTGAAGCAATGTTTGGTTTACCGACGAACAGTAATATTCGAAAGAAATAATACATAGAAACTAGAGACAAAAAATGAATACGAAAGTAAATGAGTAAATTCAACAAAAACTTTCTCTTGAACAATTTGTAAAGGTGACAACTTTGAGTGACATTTAAATATATAAGTTCGAATGCATATGGTATGCATGTTGTTGTTGTTGCAATAGTTGATTGTAAAATAAGCATAAATATTAGTCGAGAATCCATTTGATGAAGTATTGGTCGATTTGTAAACCTTACCGTTGGCTCAACATTATAAGGAACAACTTGTCGTTAATAACATCTCGTATTAGTAACTGAGCTAGTATGATCATGACGATCGGTGTGCATACTGCTGTAACAACTACTTCCGCATAATTGTCAATATAAGCGTAAATGCCCAGTTGAGAACCACAACTTCCATTTCTACTACTATATAAAATAAGTCGATGACCAACAAACAATAATCAGAAGATTGCACATCCAATAGTCGTTTTGTAGGCTGCTTCTTGACGATTGCTCCATTGACGATATAATTAAATGGAAAGAAAATAAATTATGGATAACTTCCCTCTTATACAAAATAGAAGCTCAACGGTACGATGAGTAATTGCAAGCAAGATGAGAGACTTACTTTTTCAGAAGTGATATCGATCAATAAAAAAAGAGATATTTTTTTTAAATTTATGGGTTAGTACTAGCAATGATTCTAATATCACCCTATTGTTTGAATGCGAAATTCTGTCCGACGGTTCTGCGCAAACACGACGGCTCAACGTATATCAGTTTAATAAGGAGGAATCATTATTTAAACAAAAAATATTTAATTAGTTAAAGAAAATGTTTTTGTGAAGATTTCATCTCAATATGACAAACTAGATCGAGCTGCCAATTCACTTTTTGCTTATTCGTGTCGTTTGTAAGAGCGATCGGTTTTCCGTTCGAATTCAGTCAAAATAAATGCGGAAACATCGGATTTGCATCCGATTGTTATGTGTACTTCAAAAAGCAAAAATGTACATCCATTTTTTTCTGTTCCTATTTCGTCGTAAATGTTTTATATCATGCACAGCAAAACTAGAAAGAGGAACGAATACACTATTGAAGATACAACTCATAAAGACTGTTCCGAAGTGACGGGTTCTATTTACTTTGAAAAAATTGGTATTACTCATATGAAAAATAAACAAATATCACACCGGCACATTATCAAGATATATGAGTTTTTCGACACTGATACAGAGGAATCTTGTGAGCAACTTGTTTACCCTTATAATTTAGCATCATCTTGCAGCCCATGAAATCCCCAATCTAATGGTATATGACAGTTGAAGAATTATTTTGATTATGATAAATCTGCTCGTTTGAGAAACAAATTATAATAAAATAGAATAGGTCACTATTCACATAGAAAAGTAGGATATTTTTTGCGTAACTCATCAAATTCTTGATGGACTGCGTTCATCTTCGAACTCGACTGAGATATTGATGAGATCATTCTGTGTACAAAATTTCATTACAATTGGATGAGGCTTTCAAAAGTTATCGTGTTAACGGACGGCCGGACACACTGACCGAATCTAGAGTGTACTCATTTTTTTGCAGTACACAAAAAACGGTCAAAATTATATATTCATAGGCTTTTCCAGTAGAACTTATAAAAGTGCTCAGCAGATAATCCTTAAATTGTCAAAGAAAGCTTATCCGATGCTAATGCCAGTAAATAAATATATTATTTAGGTTAGCATTGTTTTCAAAAATCTTTAAAACTTTCACTTTTTCTTTTGCCAAAGTCATACACATATTGATAGAGCAGATTTCATTGCATTTTTTTCCACAGCAAATACTCAACTTCGGAAATAGATAGATTCTCTACGGAGTGAGTGTTCCACCTTAAATTAATTATTGTATGTGAACTTATTCTACTTATCAAATATCCAATGAAAGGAATGACATCGTGAGTTATAATAATCTATAACAACGAGGAGGCAAGATAAATCTAATCAATCCTCTTTTACGTCAGCCTGTATGATTGTATTGATTGCCTTCAAAAGAATTATTAATAAAAACGTAAAAAACTGCCTCGTTTCCGCCATCGAGCTTTTAAATTTAATTCTTAATAGCGCAGAGGAAAAAGGATTCGTTGTAATCGAATTTATTGAAATTTCTGTTTCTACTTACTATTGGAACGTCGTGCAGATAAAAGTAGACCAATTATTACAAATGAAAACAAAGTAAAAGAAACTTGATGGCTTCAGACAGAAACGAATTGTCGACGTTTACATAAAAAATCATAGCGTGTTGTAACTGGAATTTGAAATCCTTTTTGAAGGATGCGTGTCATCAATAAGAGATCCAAGTAAATAAAGCTTGTCATTGCTTCCAATAGTAGATAAATCGAATAGGCTCGTTTTTGAAATGCTTGAGAACGAAATACTATTATATTTCTAATGCAGTCAAGATTACCTGCCGTCCAAAGAAATAAACCAGCCATCATGTTCAATTGATAGGGTGCAACTAAAAGAAAGCTACTGATTTGGTACGACGTAGTATTCATCATTAATAATTATTCAAATAAGTATATATAATATTCTGCGATCGTGTTGCTCGATAGTGACTTGTTCAAGGAAAAAAACTTCTTCTATAGAGTTTGTTACTTTTCTTTCAAGCATAATAGGGGGTGTATATCAATGTCTGTAGATCACGATAATTGCACAGATTGCTCTAATCTATGGCATTCATTCATAGACAATTGATAATGATAACTAGAGTGTGGCATTATCTTTAACAGTCGGAATATGTTAGCAACAATTTTAAGTATTGTTTAAAAAAAGCATTAATTCGATCGTACTCACAAATATTTTAAAAGTGCCGGTTCACGAAGTAACTGTAAGCAGCAGCTGGCAGAAGAAATAAGCCAATCGAAGTCAGCTCGTACTGTTTATATTTGCATGTATCCCGGAAGTCAATATCTACCTGTGCTTTTGTCATGAAACAGTATTTAGATATCATGAATAGTAGCTTTCGATAGTAGATGCTGATTTAAACGGCTGAATCTCGTTTCGCTCAATTCAATGCGATTCTGTTCTCAGGAGAAACTCATTTGAAAAGAAAAATTCACCGCTGAAACTTTACAATTTTACGTATGGCGCAGCACTGTGCCTAAAAAAAATGATGTAACTAGGTACTCTTTGTATAAAAAGAAACACTCTTTTACATAGTGTTAGCCCAAGGAATGTTAGTTAAGAAAAACAATTATGCACAATGCTCTTCCGGTTTAAACACTGTTGAAAAGAAATAAAACAGGAATCCATGAAATTAAAGTCCATCGAGGATTTCAACTGACACAATCAGAAAAAAGGAAGCACCTTATGATTTGTTTGTAAAAAGAAAGCTTTCGTTTTCGCGTAGAAAATGGTTTAAAATATGGGAAAAGTTTTGAAACAAATGAGTTACTAAATAAAAACTCATGTCATGTATGTTACATCTAACGTGCAAATCACGTTTCCATATATTTTTTATAGTATCCCCTCTTGTCAACACACACGTGTCATTAAACTACTGTTAAATTTTCATGGCTTTTGAGTCACCTAGTTCTTTTTATCTATCGGTAGCTGTAAACATTTTGCTGCTTGATAAATTTTGCGTCTGTATCTATTCTCATCGTATTACTTTGTTTTGTCTTATGTAAGTCTGTTACATATGCGGGTTGATTTTGCTGATGTAAAACAAACTAGTTTAATTCAATTAAAATTTTTACGAACAGCATCATCATTAATTATCATATAACATCTAAAAATACTTCTTGCAGTCAAAAGAAAAATAGAGTTGATGTGGCAAAGTTTCCATAAATTTGCCGAAGCTTTTATTAAACTGCGTTCATACTCTATGTTTTCAAACTGAAAAATAGTTCACCTAAATAATATTCTAATCAAATTATGTATGCACATGCAGAATGAAAGTTTTGGAAAAAAAAGTTCTTTTTCTCAACACTATAATATTTCTAATCAGACGTAGATTTAGCTGTCTAGGCCATTGAAGTATTTGACAGCCTTAAGATTTTTGATCTAGTGCAGCTAGTGTCTAAAAGAGTTCATCCAAAACAAAAACTGTTAATTCGTGGATATTTTAAGTGTGAGAGAGATTTGCTCGAAATCTATTGCAATATATGAAGAAAATCAATGACACCGCTATTTGTATCTAAAAGAAAATCCAAATCATTTCTTTGGATTTAAATTTGAACAGAATCTAACTTCGTAAATAATGACATTCCGATATTTTTCTTCTAAGTTATGTCTAATGTATTCTGACTGTGAACGGTTATGAGATGAGCAACGATAAAAAGTAAAATAAGTTTTAGATAAGATCAAAATATTTAAAGCATAATCATTTGAGTTTAATTTTGACAAGAAAATTGAATTGCTAATGCAGTATCACGTTAAGATTCTTGGGTCCGTAAAAACGAATATCTTATTTTATATTGAACACATACGGAAAGGTTTAAAATAGCTGCAAGCTCCGAGACGAGGAACATATCGATCTCTGAAGGAGGACTAACCAATGAGCCCTGCGCAAATCTAAATAAAAGTGTCAATATAGTGCTCCTTATTCGACTGATGCGGCTATCACTGCAACTCGTTGGTCATTAGTTTCCAATGATTGTACTGATATATCCAAATAGATTATTTACTAAGTACTTACACCACATTTGTAGTCTGCTGAAAAAAGAACATTTCCTATGATCTGTTTTATTCGACTCAATTAGATTAACTACTGTTCATACGTCTACACATCGAATTGTTGTTCATACGAGTAAATATCAAACTGTCACTTCTTAGTGAAGTGCAAAAATTCGTTTTGCTAATAATAGAATTTTTCGTGTCGTTCATTTCATTTATGCGATTGACTGTAAGACGCATGTATTCACATTTTACGTCTAATCGCTTTTCGCTCATTTCATTACCTTTTTAACAGAATTAACCGTCTCTTTCGTAATGTATAAGTAGTTCTTTATCAAAACCTTATAATGATCTTGTAATACGAAGAAATCTGCCGCAATCATGAGAAAGCGATGACTGCACATCTGAAAAATCTTTATTCAAAAAGCTTGATTCCTTTCGAATTCTTTAATAATGTGAAGTACAATGCTGAATAGCTTATAGTTTCTTAATATACTCATGCATGACTAAATCTTGAAATAACAAAATCAAAGTTGCAGATGCGTTACCAATAAGACATTAGTTGATTCAAATTAGTATTTTATCACTTGAGGTGAGGTGTATAAAAGATAGCTTAATACCAGAACCAAATAGTTTGACATATTAAACTCTTTATCTATGCTCTGAATTCTATTTGTCCGATTCTGATGTATTTTTCAAGATTATTCGACTGCTTGAAAGGATTCTCGATAGGTTTGCATATCAGATCATAATAATCAAGTACTAGAATCGTATTCCATTGAAACAAAATTGAATATCTTAATATTTCTGTTTTTATTAAAAATAGAATTTTGGAAAAATGTCTGATATCGATAGATTATAGAGAAGGTATACAACGAAGTAATGATTCATGCTGTGAACGTCTTTTTAAGTACTCTTTCGCTTTTTCAACGTATGTCTGTAAATACTCAGCATTCAGTTTCAAAGGCTTTTGACTAAGTAGAATTCGTTGATTATCGTTATCTTTTGCTACTTGTCGCCATGTTTCTAAATTTAATTGTAAATCATGCTGCCAGGGAAATGCATGAATTGCTGTTATTGGCGAAAGTTTAGAATTATGATCAAGAGAGTCCATTTGAAGTACTTTGGATAAAACATCAAACTAGAAATAGAAGGGAAAATATATTAGATCGAGTTAAATCATTAATGAAGATTTTTGTACGTAGAAATTCATCATCAGTTTCAAGAAAGTTTTATTTCTGTAAGATGGTTAAAAGGAATAGCTGTCATTCATAATCCATGTGAAATTAAAATATCAATCACGAAGTAGTTTTGATCACCAATGACGCACAGACTGCATTAATCTATGTAGTCTAGAACACATTACGTCTCTATCTTTTCCCATAATCTTGAAAACATCATACAACAACGCACTAGTTCATAAATTAGAACGAGAAGATATACACGATTACAGGCCGAGCATGAATACCTCTGGTGCAACGTACGATGAGGTGGCAATATTCTTAAGGCGTTCTTTTCATTCAGTGATGCATCATTATTTATGACATGAATAAGTATCTCACACTATCTTGAACGTACGTGGAATCAACATGTAAATGAATGTCTATCGTATTGTATGTTTCAACGTTCATTCTAAAACTATTTCATCGATCATGAGAAATCGTAAAATATTTTTCTCTAAATAAACTTTCAGATATTTAAAAGTTGACGAAGGGACTGATTCTTTTTTAACTGTATATCAAAAGAATGTTCAGTTCGAGTATCGTTTCTAAAATGACTTACGGTAGTAGTTTTGAACACGGTTCAGCGCCTAGTTTATTGATATGCACGTACAAGCTCTCAAATTTAGATAGAAAGCACTAAAACCATTTTTACTTGGTTTCATAATAAAGCATGCAATCAGATTACCGCTGTTAAACTTTTTCATCATCTGGTTATTTATGGATCATCCGGAATATCTTTACTATAGAACTCAAGCGCCACTATCCTTAAAAGGACTCGTACACACCGAACCGTTTAAGTTATTTAGATAATCACTTACAGTAGGACAGACGATATGTGTAATAAATCCTATTTGTAATTGTACAACATCAGTTTTTTCACGATCAAATGTTGGCTGATTATCATCATAATAAACTTTTTCAAGATCACCTTGTATAAAAAATTCTTCCACTACTTTCTCCGTTGATTGAATATAGATCGGCCATGGTTTAGCTGCATTTGAAATATCAGCAGCATGTAATAATGTTTGTAGTAAAGTTTTCGAATCGGTAGCAGTTGTTGTTATATTTGTTTCTTTAAAAAAGAAATATGTTGACATACGTTCAATAAGCGATGCATGATTAGCCATATCAGTTGCAAGTACAAGAGATATAACAAGTGAACGAAATATTCGATATTCCTCGGTACTCATATTTGACCAAATATTGAGACGTTTATCGCGTAACAGTTGAAACACTGCACTTGAATGATGATTTTCTAGAGAAAAAAGAATCAAATATTAAATTGTATATGTGGTAGGCGAGTTTGGAATTTAGTTGAGTTTGGAATAGCTTTTCTTAATTTTTTTAATAGAATTCTTGTTGAGATCTGCCTTTAGATAATTTTGTATTGATAATTATTCCCTCCATCTTTTTACAAGGATTTCATATAAATTCAACTCTCTCTGTATTTTTCAAACAATGGGGACATGAGGACATTGAATTTCTCTCAGAAAAATAAATTTCGTATTTTTACCTCTCAATGATAAATTCACTCTCTCTGTATTTTTCAAACTATGGGGACATGGGGACATTGAATTCATCTGAGAAAAATAAATTTTGTATTTATACAACTTTTATAAATCAAATATAAAAATGTACTAAACATCCTTGTAATACCATCTGATGATTAATTCAGAGGATATTAATTATATGATGACTCATACCGGTCGAATTTAAATAAAACAAAAATTTTATTATTATTATTATTATTATACATGAAGCACAAGGTAATCATTTACCTATAATTTCTTTCATTCATTCGATTCAATTTAATAGTAAAATCTTTTTTCCTTTTAAATATGTTTTATTTTATGAAACACGAGCAGGGAAAAAAAAAGAAATTCAAATAATTTTATTTCACGCATTCCAATCTCAACTGAAATTCTCATGTCAACTGTGACATATACACCGAGATTAACACAAATGAACAAAGTTTAGTAAATGTGGAACGAAAACAAAATTTAGAACTGTGGATAAATAGAAAACAAGTAGTATCTTTGCTTTTTATGAAAATGTCAAACGACTTCGGAAGGCAAAGGATACGTCGAGTCTACTGAGTCTGAATAAAACTTCCAAGTAAAAACGGTAAATTTTGAAGAATGTCATTTTTATTTTTTAAACACCGACAGGTTTAATTATTGGGTTGTTTTTCTTAAAAAAATCCCTTTTACTCTGGCCCCACTACAAGCCATGATTTACATGTTCGAAGACTGTCTCTTGAAATGACTTATTGCTGCGGCTCAATATAAAGCTTTTTCTTTTCATAAAGAGCTTTGTTTGAGTGGGTCGACCGGATTAGTCCTGATCACTAATATAAAGCTTTTCTGCTTCTCTTATTTGTGTTTTATTAATGAAAGCAACGGATTTATGATTTTGTTTGCATCAAGAATTCAATGCTTTGTTCCAAATCTGTTTAAAATAATTAATCAGACTTCACTAGTAATAATATATGAATCAATTAATTCAAACATCCGTACTACATCTATTGTGCCGACGCAAAGAAAAGTCAATTTTCATCATAAGGTAGCATCAATCTATGAAAGAATAGTTCAAAGGTCGGCCTTTCATCTTGTTGACTTTTAGAAAAAGTAGAAAATCTTTTCTCGATTTCCTGCCTCCGTCTTTCTGATCACACATATCGTAGTACTCGTGAATTAAATTCACTCCAGTCAAATGTTTTTCTTTCTATTCTTAAACTACATCTTGTTTCTATTGATATCAACGCGTTATATGCCTTTGAGAGTCTTATCAGGCATAGAACTTCTGACTGACTTGTTTCATTTGCAAAATAAGAGTTTTAGAATAAAAAGGTACTGTCACATTCAGTATCTTTATGTGCTCTTTCAAACTAAATTTTTGATTTCATCATTGTTTTTCCATTACTATCAGAGGATATCCTGAAATTTTTCACGTTTAATGACTCTCTTTTATCTAAAATTGAGTTTTTGAGGGATGGAAAAGGCCTTTAGTGGGTAATCGATTCTATTGACTCTCGATAGCAATTGAGTTGCAATTCTTTTTTATTTAGTTTTTCATCCTTTTGTTAGTCTGTTCGAATGTGCTAGAACGGAATAGCGTAAATATTCAGAGCTACTCGATTAACACGGTCATGAAAAATATAAGTATACAAGGAAACACAATAGATTAACATGATACCACGCCAGGCAGATGAAACGTGTTAAGACGATAGAAAAATAAGGAAGTATACATGATGAGATGAATAAAATGGAAAAAGAATTTCTTGAATAGACGAGAGAGAGAATTACCCACAAATAATAGTAGAGTAAGCCTACCCACACATAAAACTACAAGCCATTGAATTAGTCGTGATTGACGTCTTTCACGCATCTGCGCGTGACTAAACTTCGTGAATAGAATTGTGTATAGAAATGAATAGAGGACGAAAGTCTGAACTAAATATGGGACATTCTGTTCACAGAATTTTTTGTAACTTACATCCAACTGATTTTACTCAATATTTTTAGGAGACATTCAGAAGTTCGATCCATCGTTGGTATTGACAGACATGTCATTTGCAAAAGTAAAATCAATATACTTCATTGTTTTAACTACTACTGTTAGTTTCAGAGCCTTTTCTTACTGAGAGAGTGTCTATTAATTGTGAGCGAAAGACCTGCACTACTGTTTTGAATGACTTTATTTTTAAATTTTCCATCTCTTAAAATGATTTACTATTTCTTCGAATAACAAATTACTGTCTCGAAAGAATCCAACATAAATATAAAATCGCTCCGATTATTTTTCGCTCTATCGGACATCGGCAAGATGATGATTTGTTTGCCATATATGAATCGCGACATGTCGTCTTCTGTATGGATTTAACTAGATGTGATGTGAATTTATTCATCCGAGTTTCCGTAAGTCATGCAATATGACTTTGTAATTATACCAATGAAAATAAATAAGCTAAAGGAATATGAAAGAAACAATAGCGATACGAAATCATGAGTACGCAGTTCTAATTATTATGATATTGGTTTACAATAACGGCTCTTCAATTTGTTGAACCTCATTTCCGAGTCATCAAGAGAGAAGAACTGAAAATAATCTGAAATTCATCAGGCTTCTTATTCACGTTATAAAGTGAATGAAAGTCAATAGACTTGTTTTTTCTTCTGAATGTTTATGTATTTCTCTCATTAAACGAAACTTTAAGGAAACATGATTTTGAAGGTTGAAATTCATCTCAGAGATTTAATCCACAAAATTCCCAAATTCCTTTAAAAATTAAATCACAAAAAACACAATCTAAAAGAGACGTTGGATTGTAGGTGTTACAGTGAACACCCGTCAAGAACCGTGACAAACGTTGTTAATATAAAATCAAAGGCAGCGGGGGAATTCTTTTTGGAGTTTATTTCTGAAGAACGAAGTAAAATGACGTCGACGAGGTCCATCTCAAAATATCCATCTTTGAGCAATTTGATCCTGTTTCGTATTGTAATCTCGTACACTGAAATAGCATTTTTTAAGAGAGCTCTTCATATAAACAACTGAACTCGTGTCAGAAAAGAAGTACAGAAATCATCTTGCAAATATTTGCGTTCGCATTCTAGATGCTTCACATGCCGACAAAAATTCCAACGGATCTATAGTATTTTCTACGATAAAGAGAATTAGTTAGAAAACAAAACGAGTAAAACACTTAACTGGCTCAATTATTAAAGCGTATTTTTTTCTATTCTTATATTACAATTTTCTTAACTCAGAAAAAATGAAAGTATAAATCGATAAATATTTTTAAGTTTCTTATTCTTACCTAGAACACTAAAATCATTATAAATCAATGCAAGGTCGCTTTTTGTTTTTACAAGATAATTATTATTTAAACCTGGATGTTCAAAATCGTGAATAGCAGCAGCAAATAACTATTCAAAATAGAAAATATTCATCTGAATAAAATTTTTCTCTTTTTCTTCTTCTTACCAATGCAGTTATTTCCGTATGTGTAAAAACATTTAATAGATTACTCTTAATTAATAAACAATGTGCTGTTTGAAGAACATCTGCTCCATGATAATCGTTGTGATAGACTGCTCGAAATTCTAAATAAAAAGAAAAGTTTTCATTTCATTGTTTACTCGTTTTTGCTTCTATCATCCATCATACTTGTATAACCTTCGGTAAGTGCATGAGCAAAACTTTTCAATGTTTCAATATCAATTCGATAGCGTGATATAATATCATGGGCATGAAATGTAAGTAAAATAGTAAATGTCAACGGATCGCTATGTTCCATCATATTGAATGACCAAAGATTTAATTGATTTGCGTTAACTGGTAAATTAAGCATTACGGCTAACTGTTCTTTTGTATTCATACGTAATTGTCTTTGTAGAGCATTGACAAATGACGATGCTTGAATAATAGCTTTTATAGATTCAAAACGTCCCGCTGCTGTTATTGTACGTTGTTGTTTTGATGAAAATGTTTGTTCTAACCATTTACTTATTTGTCCATCATTCGATGTTATATTTATTTCACTTGATCGAGTATCATCAGAAAGAATATCAACAAGATTATAAAGAATACCTTGAGAATAGGAAGAAAAAATTTAAGTATTTCCATCATTTAATTAAAAACTAAATTTAATATCTGGCATATGTCAAGTATAGAAGTAATTTAGAAAAATAGACGAAGAAAAAATGAGCTCTTCTCTATTTAATGCACCTATCTATTAATGACCACTGCATAATTAAAGAAAAACTAATCGTATAAAATTTTTAATTTATACGACAGAACGTATCAATTCAAGAACTATAGTTAAATAATATAATTAATAGAAAATTCTTTGTTGTCTACCACTGAATAGCATAATCTTAAGTATTTATTCTCCGAAACAGAACAAAAAGACAATGTAAGCATACCATCAAGTTCTTTGCCAACATTGTCCAAGATTTCGGCATATTCTAACATATCTAAAGAAAAACTAAGAAAAAATTCAAATCATTTCAAAGTCGGATTATCCATTCCGATGTTTTTGTTTTCTTTTTAGAGCGAATACGAAAATAAAATTTATTACTCACCATTTTTACTTAAATTTGTTTGTACGGTTCGTACTTGTTCAGTTGCTGTACGAAGACGACCGAGAATATTGACTGTTGTCATTGAAGAATTTTCTGGTTTTTCTTTGGAAAAACTATTCGATATATTATTGTTCATAGTGCCAAATAGATAAATGTTTAATGACTATTGTAATAGAATACTCTTCTTTCTTTCGTTCTGTTTCTTTTTTGCGCTTGGTACTGTCGCTTATCCAGAGATGTATAGACAAAATAGAAGGACAAGTAGTTTTCTAAAACATGATGAAGACAAGAGAAAAGAAAAGACATATAACTCATTATTGAATATAAAACACTCCAGGCATTTCTGACTTGTTTGTCATTAGAAAAAAATAAGTAGACGAGCGAGGATTGACAAAATAGAAAAGAGAAAATCGCGATTTCTTTTCTCATACATACTTTCAGATAAGCAATTTTTTCGTTGAAAAAAAAAACAAGAAGAAAAGGAAACATGATTCTCACCACAAAAATTTTGTATCAGTGTAACAAAAATTTGATAAATGCAGCCTATTTATTTCATCAACTTAGTCCTATTGTAAGGTTGTATTTTCTTTTTCTCCACTTACGCTCATGTGAAACTCTTCTTTTTCTATACTCCTCAGGAAATGAAACTATAGAAAAGGAAAGACAACAAATAAGAGAAAATAGCTTCCGACTTGTTAAGATAGTTTCCAATTACTATTCGCATCAGTAAATGATAAAAGGCTATCAAATTTTTTTCTTTTTTTGAAAAAACACTTGAGCACATAAAACAATTTTTCATATCTATAATTAATAAATAGGATTATCGTAAAAACCAAGAAAATACTTGATAGGCGACATATTGTTTATTTATAATTTTCTTGTTTTTTAATGCTCGGTATTTATTTACCTGTACGAACAAAGTCACTTGATATTATAATTAAAAAAGTATCACATTTTCATGGCTTTTACCCATTACGGAGAAAAAGTTGTTTTAGCGGGGAATACTTTTCTCTGTTGAATATAAGAACTTAAATTAGTTTCTCTTTGAAGTCAAACAACAGACCTTTATCGGCAACCTATTCATTACTTAAGGCAAATAACACGTTCGACTAGAAATTTGATGTTATCAAAGTCGTTTCAAATTACTTTCCGACATAGTCGTAAGCAGGTGTCTTATTCCTGTAACTATAACCAATATCAAGCTGTCTTAAACAAAAAAAAGTTTCTATGAATCTTTCACATATTGGTATTCTCTCTCGAAAATTTTAATTTCTTCTGTTTTTCATAGTTAAGCGAAATTTTAAAAAGTAAATCACAACACCGATTAGATACGTAGTTACTTATGCAAGGTTGATTGGGAAATTGTTTTCACTTACACCTTAAAATTTCATGCTCGACGATACTCACAATGAAATTACATAAGCATGACAATACATATCACGCGAAATCTTTTCATCTAGATAACCTTTCCTGCCTATGTGTAGCCGAATTCTCTACGATGCCTTGGCAGTTTCGAAAGAATGTAAACTATAAAACATTCTATTGTTCTTGAAAAGCGAGTTATAATGATATTCTTATATTAAACATAATTTTTCGGTTAGAATATTTAATGAAATATACTATAGTGCACTTAGTTCAAGTGATACTAGTTTTTTTTTTGTTTAAATTATAATTAACCTAATAGTATTCAAAAGATAAAATGTTATTATATCATAATTTATAATTTTTCAGAATAAAAATAAAGGCTACGTTTTTAGTCGTCATATGCAACATTTATTGCCGGTCACCGTCAACGACCAGTTTTCGTATTTGACACTATTTCATCATGTCATCTGTGTTAATCAGTTATTTCGAATGAAATAATCAATTTTTGGCTGTCATAAGTCTTCCCTCTTGGTTTGTATTCGTTCACTAATGCATGGTAGAGTTCAATCATGAGTAGTTTTCGTCGAAAAACATTCTTATCTGACTTCGAGTGATTCAAAATACTTACCTAAAAACACTCAAAATTCATGTATTTATAGAACGTCTATCATAAGAAGTTTGAAAACTTTGCAGAATATTTCAATTCATAGGTGATGTTTCAAAATAAATAATTCGACTTACTGAAAATCAATTATTGTTGCTTTTGGAAAATGAATCATTGATTAGATATCAACAGTAAATATCCATGGTCAACTATCTTCTTACATATTTGATTGATCTTGAAACCTTTTTATACTTGGCATATGTAGATAAAATAAATGTTCATCCAGTGCTTACGAATGTGACAATCTCTAGAAAAATCTTTTATGAAATTAAAATAAATTTACTGCTTGAATTTTATCTATGTTGTCTACGTTTATTTTTCTTTTCTTTCTTTTTTCTTCTTCTAGCTGAACATAGAAGATTACTCTCGGTTCGGTCCCAATGGGTCCTTTCTCATATCCGTCCCTTGCAAACATGTCTTATTTGAGTCCTATAACAATCAGGATATAAATAATGATGTCTCACTTAGGTCCCCACTTAATAGTTAATAGAGAGATATAATTTTATTGGATATATTTGAATAGTCATCATGTATACAATGAATACGACTAATATCAGAGAGAGAAATAATACATAAAAAATAAAGATATTACTTTAGACACGAAGAAAAGAATTTTGCTATTTTATTGGCTTTGTTTTTACTGTTTTTCCACATAAAATTGCCAACTCTAAATCCGTAATTTCACCTATATTATGATCATTAAGAAGAGTACGACGTTGAGCATTAATATCTTCCGTTATTAGTTTTTTCTAGTGAAAACATCACGTGCAAAAGAGAGGGACCAAAGTGAGAAGAAACATGTTTGCAAGGGACCGATATGAGAAAGGACCGATTGGGACCGAATCGAGATGCCCCCGAACATAGACTAATTATCGAATAATATAAACCCATAGAATGTTCTGATGCATGACACATGTATGTGTTCAACAAATAACAATTTATAATTTCACGTTCGTGCGACTTTCCACAGACAGATAGACAGTGCTTTTCAAATTGTTAACCAGAATTTTGACTCATCAAATCAACAACAAAGAAAACTCGCAGTTCTATACCTTAAGCTTTCCTTGGAAATTGCTGAAACAATTCAGATTTCTCTTTTTACAATCCTGCAGCATTATCCAGTAGACTTGTTTTTGTTTCTTAATCTATTTCAAAAATATTCTGGTAATTTATTTCTAGTCAAAAATAGATATTGAATTATAACTTTTATGCCAGGGGCATAAGGAGCCACTAAAAATAACCATTTATTGTGAAAATAGAAACGAAACTTTGAATGTCTAGCAATATATGAACTTGCGTAGGAAGTAAAACGCAGATCCATATGATTTAATGTAAGTGATCATACTGAAATTATAAATAGATGGCATAAACGTTTTGTTTTACTTAATAAGGCAAATGCAAAATGAATAATTGATGTAATCGATTGATGTCAAGTGATGCTTACTTTTATTTAATTGTAAAGACTATTTTTGAGTTCAAATGAAGAGGATATTCACAAGTTGAATTCTTACGAACTGTTTGAAAGAAGCAGCAATCGATTAAGGCGCATTAAAATATGATCTTAATGTAGAAAGTTGTGGTGGCAGTAACAAATAAAGCATGGAGAAAGAGAATTGAATATGAATAGGCGTGTAAAAGAGTAGCGGAAATAAATTCAAAACAACAAAAACATATGAAACAATGGAATCGCAGGATAAAGTTCAAAGAAGTAAGTTACAGACAAGCAAGAAAAAACAGTTCAGGCTTAACAGTCCAAAAAGTATATGGCAAAGAAAAGACGCCGGAACATTTCTCACGTGATTCATTAACTCATCTCAAAATTCTTCTTTCTAGCCGCGAAACACTTGTTCGGGACGAAGAGAGTGTAGGCTAAGAGAACACGCTAGCCAACTACACTTTCACTAAGCTTTTTCTTTCTTTCATGTATAGTCTTGCGCCTTTAAAAGCCCAACTGCGTCAGAACTCCAACAAAAAATAAAGCCATACTTACAAAAAAACAAAGGAATCAAACTGCTTAGAGATTGCGTAGTAGCGTTGACAAGGAGAAGAAATGATGATTATATCTTCTTATTGTCGTTTGTTGAAAATAATGCGATCGTAGAAAAATGATATTTCAAATGTTTGAGTTTCTTCTGGATGTTTCTCATCAGGTTTATATCAAAGGCATCATATATAGATTGTTTGTTCGTCTGCTATATTTCAATTTACCTAGCTCTTTAAACATTAATATATGCCTTTGCACAATCAAGCAGACATTTTCTCGCACAAACCTGGCAAGAAATAGGGTTTTATTTTTTGACGAAAATAAAAAGAAAGGAATGATGTTATGATAAAAATAAATCAGTTCAAATTTATACGCTGCTCTCAACTCGCGTTTTCTTTTGTTTTTGATGGAACTGCATTCGAAGAGTTATAAATCGACAATTGCAATGCCGTTTCTTGCCTATAAAATAAGGTCATGATACCAACAGCAATTTGTAAATGCTAGACAACGAATTATTATTCAAAATGAGTAACAGCTGTCGATGAATATTAAAGAACAAGTTTTTCTTTCATGAGTATCATTTTATTGCATGTGTGAGAGAATAATACGATCTAGAAGGCAATAAAGAACAGAACTATCTCTATCGTACTCTTATACATGTATATAGTATTCGAGAGAGAAAATAAAGATATTTTGTTTAGCGTTGAATTGAGAATCAAAGCGTCACAGACAGAAAAATAACTTTTTATATTAATTCGGTGTATAGCATGCGTTCATGAGCGGAAGTTGAAAACAAGTTTTCAGTTCGTTGGGTACATTCAGCGTGAGTTCTGCACGTCAAATTTAAACTCCAATAGAATCCGGATATCTTATTTCGTGATTGAAAAAATGACTGGGACGCTATTTTATGAAAGAAATAACAGCATCACTTGAAGACTTTTGTGAGCTGTTGATGAAATTTGGTGAATTTGAGAAAAAAATGTTCAACATGGAATTTTCAAAATTGCTATCAGTTAAGTCACGCTGACCTCTATGAAGAATTATCTAGGTCTATTCATAGGTAGTCTATTGACAATTTTATGTTTGTTGAAACGATTTCACCATTCCGATATCATAGGTGTTATTTAGTAATATATGAAATAATACAAAAGTTTCACTACATTCAGGATTCAAATTGATTTTCATATCAACTTCAAAAATATGCTAACAGGAAATGATCACACTTGTCTTTCTCAAATTTAACTGCTTATTTTTTTTTCTTTTATTTAGCAAAACAAGCCCCTAGCACATCTTATTATCCTGATCGATTCCGACCTACCTTTAAAAAAAACAATTTTCTTCTGAAAAATCAACATTTTTTTCTAACGCTCTCTACTCCCCATGTATTCTAGAATTTTCGAAGTAGTTTCATTTGTGCTGATTTCCTGTTTCTTCATATCAATGAGTATGCGAAGCGTCAGTGCCTGACTTAGCCCATTTTTTTTAATCATTATATAAAAAGCTTTTAACGCTCTAAACAATGAAAAATATTTGCTGATTTCAATCAAATTATTGTGCAACAAAAGCCAATCCACGATCGGATTGATAAATTTGATTATAATCGATCACCATTGAACCCAAACGTGATGCTATTGTTAGCCCAGTGGAAATTAGTTTGATTAAAATCTGATTGTTCTGTAGCACAATTCGAATTGTCAATCGATTGATAAGGTGAATTTTACTGGAAAACAATCGGAGTGCGGATTGGATTTTGCTGCGCAATAATTTGATTGAAATCAGCGAATATTTTTCACTGGGTTGTTTTAAGTATTGAACTTGCCATTCTGTTCTTCGCTATTAAAATGAAGAGCTAAAAGTTGGATTCTTCCAGCAGACTTACGTTGTCTTTTAAATTTAAAAAAATTACAGCTATATAATGCTAGCTTTGAGACAATTTTACTTTTGACCTTTGCATTTCCAATCGCAGAAAGACGCATGTTAAATCAAATGCTATGTTTAGTAAACAAATTTCTAACTTGTTATAATATTCATTTCGTTACATCTGAAGAAATCGATTTCAATTAAGAAAGTACTAATACTGCAAACTAGGATATTATATTTAATAGCTGCATTATGAATTATTTATAATATGAGTAATAATACGAGCATGTTTGTTGTTTTAAATTATTCAAAATCGCTACTCAGTGGTTTACAGGATTTACTGTTCGTTGATTGCCTCGAAGAATAGAAATGAACAGAAAAATATTTATCGCAATCAACTATGTATATTTAGATAAAAAACAAGAATTCGAGCAAACATATGAGGAAATAACAAAGAGAATAAGGAATGGATTAATAAATAAACCAAAAAAGATGAATGGACGTTCAACTTTTTGGTGGACGCTGAAAATATCTAAGTCCAGCAACTTTTAAGAATGATGGAATATCGATAATCGAGGTAGCATAATTGTCGTTTACCATGGGGTAGATTCAGTAAATATAGCAGACATTTTTAGCAAGAGGATGATCAGAAAATTATTTTCTTTGAATTTATATATATTTTTTATAATTTTTTGTCATATTAATGACTATTGTACCCTTCAATTTGATGAGCATCCGTCATTTTAAATTGAAAATTTATTCAATAGTTTGCGCATTGGTGACTTTTTTTGTTTTTCAACATTTATGTAATTTTTTGTTCAGAAAAGGGACTGACTGTCAAGAACATTACTCATTTATTAATTTCTTTTCTTCGAAACAACTAATGGACAGTAAATCCTCATACAAAAATAGCGTTAATTGGAATAATATTTTTCCAATCAATGGACAGTAAATCCGCGGACAGTAAATCGTGTCCACGAGGCAGACTTCATTCAATAACAGAACAGATTCAACCTTTGACCGATTAATTTCTATAACCTTCATACTAACAATACAATAATCGAAATTATAAGTAACCTTCTCTATCTACACATATTTACTTCCACACTTGTATCGTTTACATTTCTTATAACAAAAAGGTTAGATGTATGTTTCAAATAATTTATTTAAGATCCTACTGATCCAATTGAAAAAAATGTTATGTAACCGAGAAGCAACACAATTGTGACTGGTGTACTCACAGGCAATTATTTATTCTGTGAAATGTCATGACTACTTATAATTAATTGCCTAGTATTTACTAGCAGTGCCCTTGTTAGGAGATGAGTAGGTCAATTAGACATTTCATGCGTATTTCTCAATAGGTTTCATGTGCTCTACTATTCGAAGCTAACTTTCTTTGACACGTATAATACAGCGAGTATTGTAGAAATTAAATATAAAATTATTAACACCAAAATACTCTCCTACAATATCAAAACTGAAGCAAAATTGCTCGTATGAGAACAACAAGGGGTAATTTATCTTCATAGCTGTTAAACGTCAATACAACGATATTTTCATTGTGAAAAAAAGTAAGTCATACAAAATATCTTTATTTCATAAATTAGACATGACAAATTGTACTTACAGTACGATCATGAATCAAATGTGCTCAAGTGAAAAAGAAATATTGGCTAGCTACGGTCGCGACAAGCAAATTTTGACTAGTAAATTTCTCCTGCCGCGCCCTTCACATTATCTTGAATTTCGCTTTCTTTTTAATACTACCACATCCACACATCAGTAATATTACACTGACTTATAAATAATTAGTTTTATTTTATAACACTTGTTTTACTTCTTCAAAGCAGACAAACAATCTTTCTTGTTGACTAGTAAGACAATATTCAGTATTGTTTTGTATTAATGTGACTTTAGAAAATTGACCTGCAGTACATGAATAAATTTAGAAAATAAAATTGATCGATTTCTTATTCCTATGGTTATAAACAAATATTTTATATAAATTAAGAAGCCAACAATCAAAAAATCGTTATTTGCCATCCTTTGAAAGGCATCTTGTGTTAAATTAGTGAAAGAGTATGAATTACAGAACCCTATCAATTAATAAAATAAATATGAAATAATAGATAGTTTTCATCTAAGACGATTATGAGTGCAAAATAAATAAATCGTTTTATGTATACCATTACATAGAATGAATCAGCCGAACTAGGTTTTTTTTCTAAAGATTGAAGCTTGTGTCTAAAATTAAAATTTTAAATTAATCAGCTCGTAAGTTTTGTTTGATAAGATATCGATATTAGGTTTTCTTTAACATTATCTAGCAATGGTTTCTTCTTCGTAAATAATCGATAAGAAAATTTTTACACATGTAAATAGCAACACTTCACATGTTTGTTTACAATGAATTGCAGATTTCACTTTATAAGTTCATCTTGTTTCCTACATCAGTTAACCTTCGGTGTTTTACACACATATTTTGCTAATTAACTGCAAACAGATATTGTCAGCACGAGTACAGAATGGATTTCTTATATTCGCCTATAAATATATCAATACAAGAAGCAAAAAAAAGACTATAAAAGTATTTGTATGAGTGCTTTGAAATCATTATGTTAGAACGTCATATCTCTTCGATGAGTAAATCTATTAGAAAAAAATTATATCATTTATCTATAATAATATAAATAACTGATTCAAAAATTGCAGATCATTGGACATGAAAAATCTGTTATATATTAAATAGTGCTTATCTCAAGAGCATCCATAAAGCAAAACGTAATAAATTTTCCTCGTGAGTGAAGATGTCAGCACAACATTCTTTCCCTAATAAAATGATTGAAATTAGATTATCTACCTAAATGCATATAAGGCTTTTCCAATAGTCGATAGATGTCAGTGGTACAACCGTATAACATAGTTTCGGAAACAGTATGAAATTATGATGGTTATCATTTTAACGAATCAATATTGAATCATTGTCTAAAATAATTTTAATGATGAATAAAAGGAGCGAGATGAATCGAAAAATCTCATTGATATTTTCCTTTGTCGTTTAATTGAGTATTTATCTCTCTGTGTGCGCATTGTTCATTTGAAAAAACGGAGAAAGAAAACTTTTTGTTTTCTGTCTGCTTGTTTTTGCGTTGTGTCTACGATGATATATCGTTGTTAATAATATTTGATTAACGTCATTTACTCTTTATTAAATAATGATAGACAAGACTAAGAATGTCTTTTATGCATGTTAGCTATTGACATCATCACGACAACTATTCGTCCTTGATGTTAGATCTTTGTCATTGGGATATACGTAGGTGCAGAATAGACAAGGCACGGTCCAATGACGTATACCAGTTGCATTAAAGATTAGAACGGCGGCATCGGCAAAGAAAAAGATGCGCGCTATTATTGATTCTCTTGTTTCGACTGAGTTATTTGTTGTTGTTTATTCGATTTCCGTCGGTTGCTTATCGGGAATGTCGTCGAAGAAATACTTTGCATAATGAAGATATCAGAGCAAATATCTTTTCTTGTTGTCTTGTATCGAGATTTTCTTTCTCTGCTTATTCTTCGTTATTATTTATTAGTTGATTCAGAAAACAAGAAAAGAGAACTCATTACCACCTTTTCTTCTTTCTCTTTCTATAGATCTCCGTAGGGTATCATCTTCTATTCTTGCCTGTCTCTTATTTATCTGTCAGTGCTATCGTGTCTATTTTCTTTGCCTTGATCATCAAACGACATAATGGGAAAAAAACGAAGAAGATTGAGCGACATAATGACTATTATCAGTTGTTCGATTCGGGTTGTCCTCTTCTAGATGTGATGTCGACTATTGAATCAAATCCGAAAAATCAGCCAGTCCTGTCGATTTCGACTTCATTACAACCGGTAACACCATCACCAACACCTCCACCGCCATTAATAATACCAAATGCGTCTACAATAACTCCCACAACATCATTACCATCATCGCCGGCATTGTTTCATGATGACAAACCCATTGAAAAATTATATAAAAAAGAAAAGCAAATTCTATTTGAATTCGAACAAATTGTTAAAGGTATTAATCAAAAAAGTTATTTTTGTTTTGTTTTTCTTTGCGATATGCAGCTAATCCAGTATTTTCTTTTCTTCTTTAATTGACATATCACTAGTACTTGAAATAGACGTGTGAGAAAGGGACAGGATATCAAGTTCGAAAAGACGACGTATGCATACATATATATGTAAACTTTCCATTCTTTCATTAAATATTTCCGTTTGCATAGAACATTTTATATCAACAAAAGTGTACGTGCGATATGCATTAAATTTTTGTTAGGGTTGCCTATTGAAATGAATAGATGATATTAATGATGATGCATTGAAGTTAACAAGTCGAGAACAAAGAAAAAAATAAATAAATATGAGATTGGTTTGTGTATAGAAAATAACAAAGGAGAAAAATAATAAATACGAAAGTAGTTAATGACATGACAGCCCCGAAGCCATTAATCGAAAGATCTTATTAAGAGCGTGTCTAATCGCGCGTTAATACTTCAACGGATGTCATCATTGACGAGTTCCAGTACATCTTTCCATATCATGATAATCTATACTCGCTTCCTTTGTTCCCATTAGATCAGATGAAACTACAAATATAAACCGCACATCATCATATGTGTTTTCTTTTGTTTGAGCAAAAAAAAGACATAGAACTATATATTTCACAAACAATCCGAAATGGAAAAGAAAAAATAAATGCGAACGGGAGTTGACCGCCCAATGATGTTGAACTTGCTTGTTTGACAAAACATTATTCTTCTTTCATATACATATTTATATGAACGAAGGAAGCAACGAATATATATATATATATATTTGCAATCATTCTAATAGACGACAGTCGGCACATTCATTGAGTGATATATAAAGATCGATATTGTTCTCTTAAACACAATGGTCAGGTATACATGTGGTGTAACATCTATCAAGCCTAATTTTAATCGTTCAACAAGTTCACAATTAAGTTTATTAAGAAAAAATTATGATCGATATAGATTTTGTAGGAAATGTTTTTAGGGAAAGTCAAAAAGAAAAATTTAAATAAACTTTCTTTTTTCTTTTTGCTAGACATTCGATTTCAGCTAAGTGAACAATTAAAATGTTTGGAACAACGTATTGAAACTCAATTATCGATTCTCGCGGAAATTCAAGAATATTTTCGTCGGCGGGCTGATGTTGAACTTGAGTACGCAAAAAATTTAGACAATTTACATAAACAAATCGGTCAGAAACATCGAGCACAAAAAGCCCGGTAAAATATTTTTCCTTTTCAAGAAATGAAAATAAATAAATTTTTATTTATAATAGTCGAGAAACTTGGGTCTTTCATTCGATATACAAACTTTGGGATACGATTGTACACGATACGCGGCATCATGTTAAATATCATACAATCATGTCTGATGTTTGTGGAAAATATATGTATGATAAATTTAATGAAATAGCTGAAGACACTCGACGCATGTTTATGAAAGTAATAGAATATTTCTCATGAAATAAGAAAAAACATAATAACATTGCTTTGTTATTCTTTGTAGTGTAAATCAGTTGGTTTAGCCAGCCATGAAGATATTGAGAAGGTTCTTAATGAATTGCAGAGTGTAAGTAATATTGTTTTGATTATCTTGTCTATGAGTGTTTATTTAGACAATGAAAACTTATCATCAGTATCAAAGTGAAAGTAAACAAGCCGAACAAAAATTAAGCGTTATTCTACAACAAGTGGCTAAAATTAAAAGTGTAAAAAAACAAAAAGCTATGGCTAAACGTGTTGAAAAAGTAAATAGAAAAATTGCGAGACGAAAGTTATGCGAATACTGATTTAGCCTTGTCTGGATAGTGAATATTTTCGTAGAACCCGACACTTCGAATTTAGCTCTAGTTGGTAAAAACAAATTCGTGGGACCGATAGCAATTAAAACAATGTTATAACACTTATTTTCGATGTCTATTACATCTAGAATAGCAATCATACAACCTCATTGAGAAAAGTTTGTTTGACTCTTTTGCTCCTCTTGAGACATACATTAAGTTAAATAAATATTGTTCATAGAGAAATCGCTGGTCTTAATGATGAACTTTTAAAAATCAAATTTTTACTATGATATACCACCATAAGAGACGCATTTCAGATTTGAGAGAAATCAATCTTTTCGACGAAGAATAGTTCACTTATGATAGAGAGACATTTATCAAATCAATCATGGTTATGTAAGTACACATATGAGAAAATGTAAGCATATGTTTTCTAGAAAGTGATTAATGGACGAAACTTAATTTGTTTTATATGGACCTTGATCAAATATAGATGGATCTCTTGAAGTTGATATGATGGGTTTTAGCACATGTTAAATGAAAGAATCTAAAAAGTGATCTTCTATTAAGTCTTGTTTCTTTTTTTTAATTTTCACTATGAAGTGAAACATTTCTACTTTCGTAATACTTAGATAGGATGCAGGTAAAACGTTTTGTAAAAGTCAATCATTCTCGTAGCGAGAGATTCAGTCTGCAAAAAGTGACCTGTGACTGACTCGACTACAATGTAATTCGAAAATTCCTCCAACGAAACAAACGATGTTTTAATCTCTTTTAGAGACAAAGAAAATATACGGAAACAAAGGTCAAGGCATTCAAGGCACGTAACGACTATTTGATGACTATTGAATCCGTGAATGCTGCACTACAAAAATATTGTTCGGATGATGTACCTGATCTAATTGATTGTATGAACTTTGGTTTTCATACATCAATTTCAAAATGTATTCAAATGTTTTTGTCAGCACAAGACAATATAAGACGCGGTCGACAAATGTTAGTTTACTTATCGTACATTTTTCTTTTTAAATATTTGAAATTTTGCTTTAAGAACAATTGAAACATTAAATCGAGCAATTGCTGATTTAGATACCGTGGTCGACAAACAAAAATATTTAGAATACTTTGAAACAACATTTACAATACCGAAAAAAATAAAATTTGAACCGCACAAAGGCGATGAAGTATCAACTGTTAATGCTCAAGTATTAATACGTGATGAAATGCAATCACGTTTCATACAAATGCAGAATCGACTTGCTGGATTGAAGACAGAGAATGACGAGGTTTGTTTTGTATATTTATACTTGAACAATTGTTTTGAGGTTTCTCTTTAAATAACAAATAGACGAAAGATTGATGCCACTGTATAAACACATAGTTCTGAATAGATTATGCCTTAGGCAAGGACGAACATTGATAAATGATCGTTATACATAGTTATGCTCATGTCGATCGCATTAGACTAAATGGCAATATGTACGGGAAAAAAACTATACAGACGTTGGCAGAAAAATTTAGTCCATGAAATAATTATGTCAGAAATATGAATAATTTCTTATGGCTGAGAAAAATGAATGAACCATCTGGAGTCGAATTCTGCTGAAAGCTGTTATATGATATTCATCAATAGGTTCCCAAACTAGTTTTTTAAATGTTAACGAGCACAAACTTTGATAGACTGGGGAAAAAAAAGTTTCCAATTGCATTGTTTTCATAGAAATTCACTAATCGATTTTGTCAGGGCAAGTCCAGTTTCTGTATTGATATTTTACACAGATAAACGTTCTATGAACTACTCTAGTCGAAAAACAAAATCCTAATTGCTCTAGTCTTGTCACATGTGTTTTACTAATGGTATTTGAAATGATTTTGACTAAGATAATAACAGCATGCAAGATCTCATCAATTTTTATACGTTAACACATGTTAATGGATATTTTTTTCGCTTGAAATAATTTTACTTACAGACTCGTGTAGTTTTCTACAGTAACATATGTTGAATAATTTAATCTATCTATGTAAACGAAAATGTCCTATTGGATTCGCCAATTTTAATTACTATTCATTAAAATGTTTTGTCAATTATGATCAATGTATTTATTTATTTCATAGATTTATAAAACCATTGAAGCCACTGAAAAATCACTTATGGAATTTATTAATACGAAAAATTCGGATGTTTCGGATCTCTTCAAAGATCTTAATTTACCGCAAAATACTTCAAAAGGTACACGAAAAGAAATTGAAGACTACTATGTTGAGGTATAGTGTAAACACATACATCTATTTCTTTAATAAATATATTTTTCTCTTTATTCTATAGAAATTCAAACAATATACTTTAAGCAGTAATTTAATTTCACGGTTACAAGCGCGTCATGATATTATGCAAAAAGCGCTAGGTGCTACGCCACCTGGTTGTAGTGCTGAAGATAAAAAGTATGAAATTTGTTTCAAAAATTGATCTCAATGTAATTCATCGAGGATAGTTTTTATGAGCGTACTAGATTTAGAATCCACAGTACTATGGTAAAGAGTCTCATTGAAAATAGATGAAATGGAAACGTTTCTTTCACACACGTGTGGAGTCTTTCTTAGAGTGATGATCTTGAAAATATGTGTAAAAGTTAATGCAATAACCCGGATTTCGTTGATAAAATGTCAACGGAGTTAATTTTCAGCATACGCCTTTTATGTAAATGTTAGTTGTACCAACCAATCATCTGCATTTTGTCTTCATGAGCTTCCGTATCGCCGGGAAAAGAATGAAACTCTATAGTCAACAATATATTTCGTTTTTCATTCGATACACTAGCATCTATTAAGAACATATCTGATATTCTAAATCAGTGCCAACGAATCCGACGTCCGGATTTGTCGATATCCCGCGAAATTCACCGGAAAATTCAGAATATTAGTAGAAATTAGTAAGCGGAAATCTGGTAATTATATCTGGTAACTGAATTTTACTAGTTCGGGTTTAAGCTAGATGTACCCGAGTAGAGTCGGTCACAGCATTTCCGGTTTCTATTATTTTGTTTAGCTTTGATGTTTGTATGTCGGCACCTAAGTAATATTCTTGCGAACTGGAAAACCCTCGCACAGAACATTAACTTTTATATTACCTAAGCTGACTGATAAGAAATCAAGGAAATTTCTGTTGGAAGCATACAAAACTTATTGAGTCAGCTCCTGATCAAAAATTTTTGAACGCAACAATTCTCATATTAGACCTAATTAGCGTTCAATGTTATATGAATATTGCACAAGAACTGCACTCGTTATTAAAGGAGTACAGACTTTTTTTCACAAAAAAATAGATATACGAAATCACTTAGAATTAACCTTCTCTTTTGTTAAATAGTTTAAGAAAAGCAACTTTTTTTTTTCTATACTTTGAATAATTTTAAAATCATCTTTAGTCTTATACGTCGTCCAATCAAACCGAAACAAATCGGTCGTGCTCCTATTCTTGGCCGCCCACGTTTATTTGGTGGAAAACTATTAGATTACATTCAAGTAACCCAACAACCAATTCCTTTAATTATTTCTTCGTGTGTTAGTGCTATTAATCGACTTGGTTTACACAATCAAGTAATTATTTCCGTGAAATTTAAATCAGTTTTATTTTCTAATTTTGCATTCAGGGTATTTTTCGTGTACCTGGTGCACAAGTCGATATCAATCAATTTAAAGAAGCTTTTGAAAAAGGAGAAGATCCACTAGTTAATATAACAGGTCGAGATATGAATTCAGTTGCTGGTGTATTAAAATTATATTTCCGTGAATTGAAAGAACCATTGTTTTCTCGAGATATGTTCGATTCATTTATTTCATGCATCAGTAAGTTGATTTCTATAATCAAATAAAACTAGTGCGAGTAAAATTATGAAGACAACGTTTTTCGGGGCCTACGACAATTAGTCGCATTATAGAATTGGTCGAAATTCTCGAAAATAAAATTCCAGAAAATGTTTTATTAGTATTACAGAAAAATAACTCGGAGAGATCTAGAAAATAGTTAGCGATCTATTCAAAAATCAGGAACATTAACTATGAGTATAAATACCAATGTTTAGTAAACTCTTCTAATTGCGAATAAAGCATTACACGAGAGCCAGTAGTAGTTGCTTTAAAATTTTGCTTAATGCGAATGATTTTTTCTTATTTCGAAGCGTCTGTCTGCTGCGCTTTTCGCTATTTCGCAATGAATATAGTTTTCATCTTTTCGTAATATTTCGATGAAACTAAAAAGCGAATGTCACCATTCAGTTAGCGTTTATCAACGAGGCCATCTACTTATCTATTTCATGAAGTAAAGCTTCGTTTTTTTACACCTACCCTCTCAGCCTCAAGTTGTGCTATGTGTGATTGAGTCACCCGTGTGTAAATTGAAGTTTTTGGGAAGCAGAAAAAGAACCATGCTTCTGTCAAGCATGCGACCAAATCTACAGTGTGACTAATTGTCGCTCTCCCCATTTTTGTACCTAATTAAATCTCTCCAATACGAACGTAAGTTGTAATATTTAGGTGAGAAATGTAGAAAGGAAAACGTTGTCCGTATGATTTTACTCATTACTATACTAAATAAAGCACTTAACAAAAAATTTTTTTTGTAGCTGATGTTGAATCCGAAAATAAATGTGTGGAAAATCTTTGTCAAGTTGTAAAACTTCTTCCTCGCCCAATATTTATTGTCATGCGTTATTTTTTTGCATTTCTTAATCAGTATGATTGTTTTTTTTTAAATGTTTTTATTAATTACGAAGTGCTGTTTTTGTTTATCTGATATTCTAGTCTAGCAGAATATTCGGATGAAAATATGATGGATGCATCAAATTTAGCTAGTTGTTTAGCGCCAACACTTATGCCAATACCTGAAGATAAAGATCAAGTACAATATTTAACACACACTATTGAACTGATTCGAACCATGATAAATCATCATGAAGAAGTATTTCCCGTCAATGATGAAGATCCAGTCTATGAAAAATTTGCTATTACAATTCCAATGTAAGATGAAAAAAAGAAAACATCGTTTTACTATTTTATTCTACATAAATACTTTATTTTAGTGATGGCGAAGAAGATGAAGATGATGAAGTTGAGGGTATTAGTGAACGATCATTAAGAAGATCGCCAAGTGACGATGGTAAAGAAGATTTTAAAAGATGAAAGAATGAAATTTTAATTTTTTTTTGGAAATTTTTCTAGCTTCACAAGATTCTGATTATTGCACTGAAGATTTTAATTTATTAAATGAGACTGACGTTTGGTAAAGAATCAGGCATTCAAAAAAAAAAAGGAAAATCCTTCCATTGAGCGAGCATGTTGAGCATGGCTTTCCCATTCCCATTCAACTATTTGTTTATGTGTCCGAATCGATTTTGTTTTAAATTTTTATTTGAAGATAAATTAAAGAAAAATAAAAGTAATTTCTGCTTTTTTGTTTGTTTTAGAAATGGAGATGGTAGAAGCAGTGGCATTGTTTGATTATTCTGGTAGAACTAATAAAGAATTATCATTTAAAAAAGATCAAAGTATTTTTATTTACAAAAAAATGAATCATGAATGGTGGTTAGGACATATAGCTGGTGGAAGTCAGTCAGGATTTATTCCTGATGGTTACATCAAGCTTAAATCCAGGTTTGTAAACATGATACTTTCTTAGAAAAAAAGTATTTAGTGATATATTCTATCTACTATACTGAGTAGATTTATGACTGTTCATTGTCGGTTTCGATCTTGAGGTCCAAATAAGAACTACATGGGAAAAACGTTTTTGTAGATAAGAGAAATTTTATATAAGCTCCATGAAACTTATTTGTATTGTATTATCAAAGATGTACTACTTAGCGGAGACACTATTTCTATCTGACGAAAGAAATGAATGGTCAGAATTTGTTTAATATTATTTTTATTTATGTTCAATTTTAGACGCCGAGATTCAGCTCCTGTTCACCATCGTCCTCAACGTAGTATAGTGCCTAATCCACCATCGTCTATAACATTTCGAACATTATCAAGTGATCGATCGAATGCCTCTATTTCAGCCACTTCAGCATCTCATATTGTACATCGTCAATCGTCTGATTTTTCACTTGTTGATGAACATCGTCTTGAATCAGCTAAAGAAACTGAAATTCTTGAAGTTGAATTAGACATCAACAATAATGAAGAAGAAGGAGAAGAAGAGAGTAGTTTACTAATTGAAAGTCATGCTAACCCTCCTGTACCCGTTTCTCGCACCATCTATGATGCTTTATCACCTAATAATCTACCAAAACCATCAATACCAATATCATCATCTCCCTCGACATCCGTCAATGATCAACAAATAATTGATATTGATACAGCGTTACGTGAAATTTTATCAGGTATTCAAACTGTTGAAGAATGTCATGCACAGTGTTTTCGTTCCATGCCATCGTCCAATGTCCAACCAGAAACCGATGCACCTGATCTTGTGATTAATTTACCAAAATCAAATGGTATTCTAACAGCACAACCATCGAAATCATTTGATGAACATTCATTACCAATATCTCATTCAACAATAATTATTGATCTAGCACATTCATCACGATCAAATTCTTCGTCACCCGAATTAACTCGATCAAATAAAATTCCACCACCGATTATGAAAAAACCAGAAAAAACTTTGCATTTACTTGAACGTCTTGGTTTAAAACAGACAACTGATTCATCACATGGTACTAGAACATCATCATTAACAACACGTTTCAGTTTTCCTCATCAACAACATCAAGCAATATCGATTTCGCGTTCATCAAAAGCTACACAAGTTTAAGATCTAATTTAGAAAAGAAAGAGTTATTCGGAACTGCTAATAGCGTTCAGTATCACTTACAGAATTGCTCATTTTAGCTTGTAAAATAATTCTTATTGTTGATCTAAATGCACAACTTTTTCATCTTAGATATTAAAAATCCGATGATATCTTTTTTTTTATCCATGGTCGAAATATTCTTTTGCACTGAGATTGTTTTGTTTTGCTATATATGTGTATTTTGTAGAAAAGAAACTCCTTGTTAAATGAATGAAAATAAAATCGATTTGAAAATTCAATTGAATCTATTCGGAAGTTATTTATTAAACTTTGATTTTCATTTTCCAAAAAAAATCATTATTCAAACGAACTGTTGAAATATGGGAATAAAAACTTGAATACCAATGTAATAATGCATATATTATATGTCAACACAATATGGTTTGATGTAAAAGTGAACATAAGACGAACACTTGAATAGAAAAATCATAATCGCGTCTAACCTACTTCGAAATGTCGTTTCATCGTTGTTTTCTGGCAAATTGTTTACATCCTGAATACACGCTCATTAATCGAATCTTTAAATATGTAATGTACTACTTTGAAACAAATGGGAAAAAAAGTAAAAACATGGCACACTAGATACCGTGCCGGAGAAACGCCATCGCAGAATTTCAGCGTTTCTAATGATTTACATGCGGCGGACGGCAAAAATATTTCGATTCTTCGAAACAGCATTTCATTGTTTACATTGTTGCTAGAGAACGATAAAGAGGACATACTACTACATGACTGTTGTCACTCAGTTTGAAATTTTCGATAGGAAAAGCATGATGGCGTTGAGACGGCAGACTGAGACGGACACTACGAAGTGCAATCATTGGGAGGTCGATGAGCGAGATGTAAGTGTAGATAAATTTGTTTCACTTATTACTACGTTATCTTACTTGATTTTCAGCAGATATGACGATTGCAATCTTTGCAAACAATTCCTACGTATCGATGCTAACGTGAGTTCTCCTGTCATATGCTGCTAAGATTGCATAAACGATATATTTAGAAACTAGATAACGAAGATAGATTGAAACGAGAGTGTTTTCTAGTTTGCTTATACTCAAAGAAGCGAAATTGTTTACCACACAACCGAAAGTATGTTCAGTTGTTTTTCTTGACAAATCTAAAACATGATTTCTATTAAGGAACCAACTGTAGCTTATCTATTCGGTGCTAAGGTATATCGAAAATCCGCTCAAATAATCACTTGTACAGAATTTAAAGAAAACGCAAAGCAAGACTTTCCAATCTTATATATCGATGATCACATACACATCTTCTGAAGGATAAATAAACTTCAATTACGAGAGCATGTTTGAATTATCCATTGAGACACGCAGCAATTTTCATAATGTAAATTTACTTGTGCAGCATTCGAAAAAATTCGTCACTCACACAAATTAAATGGCCTGGACTTGCGATGAATCATATGAATTCATCCGATGAATGACAATCGAAGTTGAAAATTACAACTTGTAAAAAGAGCAAGAGTGTTAAAAAATCTTTTTGAGGGTTATACTTATCATTGCATACATTATTTATGTGAGAATTCGAAAACAAAAGAATGTTATCGTATAGTCCTTACCATTTTCTTGGCAACCTTTTCTAGTAACTGAATTTGACTATCAGCGGTAAATTTTTTGGTGAGATTTATTTGTTTACTGAATATCTAATAAAACTTATTAACTATGATAGTATTTTAGCACTTTCATTCTGTGACTATTAAGATAGAGTCACTACAGGTCGTTAGATTTTTAATAGTCGACATATACGTATGTCTGAGACGGGTACGTTAGCTGCAAGATGATTTGACCGACGTTTTTCTATTGATCGTATCAGACTCGTCATGGGCAACAACTATATATTTTTTTCATCCATGTATAGTCTGTCGAAAATCATTTTATCGTTACCCACTCATTTTCCTACATTTTTTAATAATCGTTTGATAGATCTCGAAATTCTCTATCGAATGATACGTAAGTAAGCGTGGAGCGACATTATTATCTGAGTCTTTCGAGAGAAGTATCATCATCGGTATTCACCTTTACTAGAACGTTTGTATAATATGCAGACGGTGTCAAATTCAATTCAGTAGGTTTTCTCATATGTTGACATACCATCAGGGAGAGCGTGAAAATGGCTGCAATCTGACGGGTAAATTAAAATAAGTAGTAACTATGATAACTGAAATATTTTATTAAAATGATCGACTCCCCAAAGGAAATACAGTGGATTTTAGTGCAATATAAAAAGTAATGCAGATGATGTCTAGATTTGATATAATGATAAAATGTGGCTCAAAATGTCGATGCGGCGTCAAAGCTAGCATAATGAAAACGAAAAAGTCGTGTTTGGACAGAGGGTCGATTTCGGCTGTTAACGTCCCCCGTTCTTTCTTTCGTTTGTAATGGTATAAAATCGTTCATAGATGAATTTTTCTAGTATCTATAGATTATTGATAGATTGAAGAGTCATTCTAGTTTGGATAACAACGAACGTCATTAAAAACCCAGACATGTTATCTCAATGTCGCAGGCAACTCAGAAAATTTTAATATCTTGAATATCGTTTTGTTTTGATACAGTCTTTCATTTGAGACTGTTTAGTGAAAAATCGAAATTTTATTGCCGATCACGCTCTACTAAAATTGCTGCATTCTCTCTTGTGAGTCATATCTACAATTTTTTACTGTAAAACAAATATGCTATAGGGCTTCCCAATTAGTTGGAAGTCTGAGACCACTAAACCTGTCAGCATAAAAATTTGGTGAATTATTCCATCAATGCTTCGAAGATTATGGAAGAAGAAGAGTATGAGATTGCCAGTTTTCGAAGTCAACGATGCAGAAATATATCTGTTGCTATAACTTCAAACCGTATTTTTCCACATTGGTTTCTTTTATTTGTTATGTAACCGTTGATTCTCTACAAGCTACTTAAAAGAATTAGGAAGACATGTTTATAGTGGGTACAGAAAGTATTAGATGTTGCCAAATTCGAGGCAATTAAACGCTAGCGAAATGATCTCTATCGTTTCTTTGGTCTACTGCTACTTATGAAAATTTTGGTTTTATCCCAATAATTACTTAATTCTGGGCCAAATCAGCATAGACGATTTCTTCGGAAAACAGGAAAAATTTTCCGCATATTCATATCCCCATCGCGAATACATGAATGTCAAAAAAACACTATTTTTCTCGATCCCATACTTCATTCATCGAAAAGACACCTGACTAATCATATGGTCTCAGCTTATAGTTTCAACTATATGATGGCATGTGGAAAAATTTGTGTGGCTGGGAACGCGAGCTTTCCTGTAGGGGATAATAACTCACAGTACCTCTTATACCATTAAATTACTGGTAACTATGTGTACAGTTTGAGCATGTGGCTATGATCAACATTAGAACTGCTATCTTTCTGACTTCAGAAATGTCGAATAGGCTAAAATGAACTTTTTTCTAAAGTCCTGTACGCCATCTCTGGTATGCACGAGGGGAGGAAAAGGTTTTTCTTCTATTTGCCTAATTCGGGTTCGAATACAAATGGAGATACAAAAAAAGAAAACTTCCAGATAAATCGAGAAATAGATTTAGTTTTAGTTTAACTTTCAGATGTTTGGACATATAAATAGATATATCTGCACAGCCCGGGGGGGGGGGGGGGGGGGGGGGGGGGGGGGGGGGGGGG